AATTCCCCGCTCACACCGAGTTGTTGCAAAAGAAGAGTGAATCCGTTGGGCTGACGTGCAGATCTGTGACTTTATCGTGGATTCGTAGTCAGTTGTGGTGACGGTGTCAACCATTTCTTTTTTTAAGTGAAGTCGACAGGCATTGCAACACATTCATGTTTATTCGAAGCGCTTCACAGGTGAACGGTTTGGTAATGGAGGCATTTACAAACCAGCCGGCTCTTCTGTTATGCAGGAAACCATTCAGGTGTTTTTGAAGATTGAAATGGCAGGTGTTGCATTGCACTCTGATTATTTGAGAGATGCGTCTGTTATGTTAAGCCAACACTCTAACCGCCGTTTTAAATGTGATTGCACAGTAACCGCTGATATTCAGAGTTGGATTTAATCATTATTCAGATCTCATTTGCATGCTTCGCTTTTTTTCCTGCATATTCTTTGAACAGCCACTCGCTTCCTATTCAGCCATCTCCAAGCCAAAGATGGTTAGTCCTCTTTAGAGATTCAGAGCCTAATTCTCTGTGGGAAAGCTGGTGGAAGCCTCTCCTGACTGGGATAAGACAGAAGCTTTGTTTAAAACTGATCCTAAATCGCCTCAAATCTGCTGGTTGGTGTATGCGATTTGAAACTTTTTGCATGGGAGAGTAATTAGTCTGTCAATAGCAGCCTCCTATAAATGGGGTGTCAGAAGCAAGTCGCTCCTCAGCTCGCTGCTTTAACACGTCAGATTTTTTTATTTGTATTTTTTTTTTACTGAAAGCAGCACATTCCTAGCCACAAGCGGTTTCACACTTCTTTTTTTTTTTAAGTCACAGGAAGACGCAGAGAAACTATTCTCACAAAGAAAAAAGATACACACTTCATTCAAAGCTCTTTGGAAGTGTCCCAGTTTGACCTGAAACTTAACAAAAAGCGGGCAAATTGCGTCCCTTCATGCGCTCACAATATCTTTAAAATGATTTGGCTTCACAGCTTGGAGTCTTCGGCTCCAGCAGACGTCGGTTCGTGCTCGCCCATGGAAGTGGGATGGTGACTGTTGTCAGTCGCTGTGTTTTTTTTCTGGGGCTTCAGTTTGTGTAAACAGCCGTGCGTCGGCTGAGGCTCCGCCTTGGTGGATCTAATGCTCACCGAGAGCATTTCATTTTGGATTGGCTTGATCCGCTCTCATGTGCACATCATTAGAATCTGCAGAATTAAATCATCCTCCTGGGGCCCGGATCAAACAAGAAAAAATTAAAAAAATTAAAAAATATATTTAAAAGCTTTCCTTGGTCTTTAAGAACAGCTTCTACATAAATGCAAGTTTTTTCCCCTCATTCTAAAACATCCAGTAATGACTGGACGCCGTGCCGTCTGGCTCCTGAGCGCTGCACACTTTTGACCACATGGACACCAAAAGACAGCAGCCCCTGTTGGTTTGTTTGGTTATTTATTTATTTGTGGAGTGTTAACATGCTGAATTTACAGCACGGTTAGAGCTTTGGCAGCCGTCCAGTCGGCCGGTTACTGTGACCCCTTAAACCCGTGTTCAGGTACTGGTGTGGCAATCATTAGACAAGTGTGTGTGTGTGTGTGTGTGTGGCAGGCCTAAAGTGTAACATGTTTTTCCCCTCCAACGAATAGAATCCTTTTGGGTTTTGGGTTTTTAATGATTTTTTAAAAATGTCCTGAATGCTGAAAGTTGTTTTTGATTTGATAAACCCCTAGCAGTTGTATGTCGTTTAAAAAGAAATCAAATTTTGAAGACGTTTCCATCTTAAATTAGGAAAGAATGTGGTCTTCTGCAGCTTCGTTCTGAGGAGCTGTTAGCTTAGCTCCCTCTTCAGAAGTCTCCCCTCGGACACCCGAGCGAGACGCCGTCTGCTCGCGAGCGCTTCACAAAACCCTTGATATGAATATGAAAATCCATTTTCAAACTGCTGCTTTTAAAAAGGAGGGGGGGAGATGATGAAACCCGCCCATCTCACAGGTGTCTGTGTGGGCTATTTCTGCCCACGTGCCTGCTGGCTGCTTCACTTCACAGGTCGTTTACAGGTCGTTCGAGCGGCCTGCACCGGAGTGGCTAATTAGAACCGGGGTGGATGACAACCCCGGAGCTAAAAGTTTACCCAGATCCTGATGTGTGGCTGCGGGGGGAAACAGGCGGTGATGCAACTGATTACGTATTTGATATTGAATGGAGCAGAACTAACTCGTAAACAGCAATGAAACCCACTTAGTCATGCAGCGGATGATGGCCCCATCTCCACAGGAACATGCTAATCAGTGAACAGGCCTTGATTGAAATAGATTGGGCCTACAGGGAAACCACAAGAGGGTCAAGGTAGAAGCGCCTCCTGTGTTTGTTTTGGTTTTTATTTTTTTGTTTTTTATTACATAGCGTTCTTTTCCCCTGCTGTCCTTCACCTCATTCCTCCTTAAAGATACCCACCTGCTATGTTGGGTGCTCGTTGTGGGGCTCAGGGGATCCGCAGCTCCATTGGTAGTCGTCATGGGCTGTGAGGCCCGGGCCCATATAGGCAGCTATGCATCAAATTGCTAATGTGAGTGGCAGAGCAGCGCTATCCGTCCCATCAAAGCCACACGGGCAGAGATGAGGCACTCTGTTCAGCTGCCCGTGAGATCGTTGGAAAATGGCTTTTGTAGATTTGACTCTGCAGCGAGCAAAGTTGTCTTTTAGAATACTTTTCTTTGGATCCTCTCTGTTTCTGCCCCGCTGGTTTGACAGCCGCAGAACAATGAGACGGACGTGCCCGGCCGGCTCCATCTACATACCCAGCCGCCCGCTCCGCCAGGGAGCGCGGTGGCACCTTACCCGCTCCGGCGTGCACTTCCTCCACATCGCGGTGCTTTACATGCCTCAGTGTGTGGGGAAATGACCGTACTGAAGCAATAGCAGAGTCACTGGGACAGCAGTCAGATCTCTCTTTATGCGTTCTGTTGGCTGTGATTGGGATGTGGTGAAATGATGCAGAATCTGGGCCCATCTTGTTTTATTTTCTCCTTTAAAAACAGGTGACGGCTGCGAAAAATGTCAGCTGGGTCTTATTTTTGGGATTTATTTTCTTTTTTATAACCCCGTTTGTTGCATAGTTCTTTTTTTCTTTTCTTTTATTGGCTTTAAAAATTTGGTGTTTCAGCTATGCTTGATGAGGAGGATTCATTCTCTATTGCTTGTTTTGAATTAAATTAAATTTGAAACAAACAAAAAAAAAATGGAATGGAAAAAACTAAAACTTAACGGTAGCACTAAAAATGTCTTATCATACTTTGTGACCCTGACCTTGCTCCTAATCTCAGTCAAAATGACAGTACTGGCTGTAGGCCTAAAAAGGAACCACAGTAATGTTTAAATGACATTGAACGCAGCATGTTTGTAATTCTCCCCCCCGCCTCAAAGGTCACTTTGTTGCCGTCGTGCGGTTTTCCTCCAGTCCTCCACTTATTGAGCGATATCAGAGAGCTGCGGTTATCCGTGTGCATTCATGGTCAACTTAAAACCACAAAAATCAGGGTTTGAGGTGTAGCAAGCCTCCTTTTGTTCAGCCATACAACCCACATGCATACTGTCGCCCTAAAAACCCACTTCATTTAGTTTTTATCTGATAGTTCTGCTGGTGAAACATTCCACATTTTGGCAAATTCAAATTTTTATTAGCTTACATTTTCCCTGTGACTGTAATTCTGAGCTGCTGCTGGAGTGTGTACGTGTGTGTGTGTGTGTTTCTTCCGAGTGAGTCATGCTCCAGCTGCATGGTTTGTTTGTCCTGCTCTGCTCTGGGCCCAGATTCAGGCCCGCAGGTCTCGGCTTGTGATTGCTGGAGGAACCCAAAGGAGAAAGCCTCTTGTCAGCTGTTTTAATAGCTTTTGAAGATCACTTAAAGTGGTGTAGTTGTGGAGATTTTCTCCCCAAGACATAGCGGATGCTGCACATGCAGCTTCTGAACGCTTTTCCTTTCCACTAAGGCTTAGATTAATGGTCACAAAGAGCGTCACAAAAAAGTCACTTGATTTGCTGAGAAACCTGAAAAGCAACCCTGGGAACGTCAGATTTATTACTTCTCCTTTAAAAGTGTAGAAACGGTTTGAGCTCGAGTTCATTGTACTCCAGATTTTGCTTCAAAGCACATTTATGATGTCTTTTTGTTCTTACGGTAGCTTAAACCATGCGCACGTTCTTGTTTTGTTTGTCACCCCGTCTTTCTGCTTGACGAAAGACGCAGACAAATAAAGCTTGTTGAAGCCACGGCGTGAGGAGATAAGCGCCGGTGTCCTGGCCGCGGCCCTCCGATGATATCGCTATACGTGATGCAGGACTTTAACAGCTCATTAGTCACGCTGATGAGGTTATCATCCTCTCCGGTGTACTTCTCGCAGGTAATTGTCCTTCAGCAAACTTCTCTGGCCGGCTTCAAGGTCTCCATACGTGGATTAGCTTACATAAAGCACTTGAGCCTCCGGTCGCATCATAATGCATCCCACATTAATTAGCTGGGCGCCGAAGACTCTGCTTGGGGGAATTCACCAAACTGAACCCTGTTCGTTCTGCTGTTGGCCGGCGTTCCTGCCCCCTCCGCTCCCAACAGGAACAGTTTGAATCAATGCTTCTGTGCATGTTATATGCTATAGGTTTCTTCTCAGCTTTCATAGTTATTTCTCGCGTCCAGCATCCAACCTGTTCCATGTCCGTTTCCCCTTCTGCAAATGCCAGAGGTAAGAAAGGGAATGGCTCATTTGGGCTTTTTGTTTGTTGGTTTGTAACCAGCGGCTGACCTGAGAGGTTCTGGCAGCCCCTCAAAGGTTCACAGTGTGAATGGTGGCTTTATCTTTCCTGGTTTAACAAAGCAAAGCCCCTGGGCTCGCCCAATTCCTCGCGCCCTCTGATAAACTCCAAGTGAAATAAAATCTATTATCTCTGAGTCCGGTCTCTGTGTCCGCCAAATGGAAATGGATACTTACCCTGCAGGTATATAATCCCACACTAAGTTGTATCTCCTCTCTTTCTCTTGTCTTGTTTCAGGTTCAACTACAGATCGACTCACCATCTTGCTTCCAATGGCTTCTATGAGTTCCTCAACTGGTTTGATGAAAGGGCCTGGTACCCCCTGGGAAGGATTGTTGGTGGCACAGTAAGTTTGGCCCTGAATTAAAGCTTCTACGGTATCATGTATGGGCTTTTTTTTTTTTTTTTTTTTTCACCATCTTACTTGTTTGGTTTCCTCTGATGCTGAGGAGCATCCTGAACATCTGCACTGTTGTCTGGTCTGAAAGTGTTTTTCTTGGTCTCTAAACTGCTCACTTTGCGTGTACAGATGAGATGAGATGAAGAGACTTTTTAAGTTTGAGACTATGCCTCTACTTTGCACTGTATGCTCTCTAAAAACGTGTGGGACAGCAGTAAGTCTTACTCAGGGATAGCTGGATGTGTACATCTGGGACTCAACCCGCCTCTCTTGGCCTGGTCATTTCAGATAAATGCTGAAAAGAATACATTCCAACAGCTCTGTAGGTTCTGAAACCCGGCATGTAGGGAATCCCAGTGTGTCACAACGGGAAGCTCCCTCGTGACGGGGTTGTAGTCTCATGAGAGAAACCGAAGGGTTTGTTTAGTGTTTAGCGTTCTCTTCATTAATGTTGGTTGTTAGTTAGCTGTTTATGCAGTTCTGTTTCCATTTTTCAAAACAGTTTAGAAGTTTGAATATGTTCTCAAAGCAGAGGTTTCCCTCCAAATCCGCCTGCTTTCTTCCTTCCAGCTCGTGATGACGACGGCAAACAGAACTTACCACTCAGATGTGTGGTTCCACTTCCCCTCCGGCTCTGCTGACGCTGCTGTGTGCTTTAAGCACTTAGTATGTTAGGGTAAAAAACGCCATCAAGCAGTCTAAACGCAAAGTGTGAGCGCTTCACAAACGGGACGAAAAAACGTCTGGTTTGTAACTGCGTGGCTCAATTTTTTTCCTTTTTTTTTTTAACGAACGCCAACAGGCACGAACCGGCCTAGAGTTCCCAAAATGCCGGCTGCCTCCAAACATGAAGATAACAACTTTGTGCCAAAGACTAAACAGTGCTGGTAGAGGAGAGCTATAATGCCCGTAACTTCTCTTTTTCCAAGCAGAAACCATTTTAAAAGTTTTTAGACGCGTTGTGGTGTTCATGGCTCATAGACAGTAGTTTACACCTGGTATCCAGTGGAATACTTTAGGCCTCGGTGTCTCTGTATTGTGCCCATCACCTCCTCTGGGGCTGCCTCTTCTGAGAGCTGTACTACTTTGAGCCAGTGGATAGGTTATAGAAGGCAGTAAAATGCAAAGACACTTTTACTCTTCCCAAAGGGAAAGTTTTGTCCAGTAGAGCTTGAAAAGTTCAGTTAAGGCAACTGGACTGAACTTTGCGTCCAGTTGCCTAAAATGAACTTTTCAAGCTTGAACATGACCTGGATGACTGAGAATCTTCACAGTTCTGTCCAGCAGTTCCCTCCCGGCAGTCACTGTGCCGCGGTTCTCTCTGCTGACGGGGGCGACCTCCGGACTTTGCTCCAGAGTTTGGAGCAGTAAACATTAACGGGCGCTTTTTGTGGGCCGTTGCTGTGAGCGGACGCTCCACTGGCTCTGGCATTTTCTGATAGAGGGGCTCAAAGGTTGAAGGCAAGGCTCGCCCGAGGGGACAAGAGTTTCAGTTCGCCCGGATCGCACGTTAAGAAACGCTTCTTTCGAAGCCTCACAATATCTCCAGGAGCTTTGCGGGATATTGTGGGATTTGTTCTGACTGAAATGGTAAACGGACTCCGTGGCACCTCTTCAGTGTGTGACCCGGAGTCCAACCACAGGCCTTCCCATCGATCCAGAGGCCGCCTCTCTGACCCCCTGAGCTCGGGCTCAAGCGCGGTCGACACATGCAGATTTTACCGTATACTTAAGACGTTTCTAGTCAAGAGTTGCAGGAATGCGACTTAACCAGAAATGAGACCCAACAAATCTCACAAAAATATGTTCTGCCACCTCCTCCGCAGACTTTGAACTTTAAAGACACAAACATTTGCTCCAAAACACAGAAGTGATTATTTTCTTGCTCATTTTGTGTTCATCTTAAAGGATATGACACTAATAGATTCAGCTCAGCTGAGGCAGCCTAGGGCCAGGAATGCTCTCTTACAAACCTATAGATGGAGTTCTGGCTCCTCTGAGGGAAAACCCCGGCAGACCCACTCCAACCAGATGGATTACATATCCCATGTGGACTAGGAATCCTTCGGGATGCCCTGTAAGCTTTGATGGGAAAAGAAGAATTTGTAGTGTGACCTTTGCTTGGCAAAAGCGCACTGGATGCATCGAGAACGTGTTCTGAAATCGTGTTTTACTTTTGAAATTAACTCCACATCAAGCAGCTGGTTCCGCTTTTGAGTTTGAAGGAACAGTTTGAGTGATCTGCATGTTTGCTGAGGTGACGAGGTATTTCTGTGGTTCTCTGGGGGTGGGATGGGGGGGGCAAAAGTGCCAGTGGAGATGTGACATAGAGCCCAGTAAGCCTCCTCCAGGCATCATAGATTTCAGTCACAAACCAGCAACAGTGACTGTTAGCTTGATTCCCCTCGACTGCCATAGCCGCCCTACTTTCCAGCAACTGTCACTGTGGTGAGACAGAGCCTTCAGAAAATATGTGCTGATTCTATGTTTAAAACCCTGTGAACAGTGGGGGTCAGCGGGAGTTGGACACCTTTGGCCAGTGCGGCTCCCCCCTCTTTCCTCCACCTGCGTGCTGATCTCTAATTAGAACTAATTATAATGATACAGGAAGAAAATGACGATGCACAGCTAAGCTGAGCTAAGAGATGCTGAGGTGGAGCCTGAACTCTGGTCTTTTTCTGACTACCCTCCCATTTTTCTAATGTTGCACATTGGTTTTTTTGTGTTTCTGCAAACTGGCTCAGGACAGCCATTTTTCCCTGCAGGTATTCCTGCTCCTCACAAAACAAAAATCCCAAAGTATTGGAATCCAAAACACTCCTCCATCATAAGCAATTATTGTCAGTTACAGGTAATTACATATGTGAATCTTGGCTAATAACGGATGTGCCGGTTCTGTTGCCGAACATAAATACTCATTTTAAGCCTCGTCCCCAGAGGGCGGAAGCCGAAACTCATGATTACGCCGGTAATCGGAATTGGAAGGTGTATAGTCTTAAGCTAATTTTCATGACATTTGCAGGTTTCCTAGGCTGCATAGAGCAGCGTTTTCTGCATACCAAAAAGCACACCCAGCTTTAATCTTCACTCTGCACACTCTGTAATGTTCGAGGGAAAAATTCAAACGACCGCAGAGATCCACGCATGAGGAATTTGAGACGGATCATATTGTCCCTCCTTTGTTTGAATTTAATTCATTTTCCACTCGAACATGACTTCAAACATTTCAATCTGCTCTGCAGACTTGACATGAGCTAACGGTGTGTCGGAGCAGGACAGAAACCAAGTGCAACCAGAAAAATGTTATATAGAAGAAGAACCAATTAAAAATAAAGAACAATTTAAAAAAAAAAGTTTGAGTAGAACCAAACGTGCATTTGTCCATCAACAAATTCCTTCTGATTGGCTCTTCAGCCTGATCAGTGCACATTAATCAGTCATCCTAAATCTTCTCGCACAATCTTTTTTGGGCCCTTTTCATTTCTCCAAAACGAGCAGCCTTTTCACAGCCTGACCACTGAGGACCTGCATCCGTCTCACGGTTTCTGTTGTTTTTTTTTCAACAAAAGAGGAAGAATAAGACAGCATTGAACTGAAACTCACTTCTGAGTTGGTAAAGTTTCAGTTCCAGATGGCACGTGGTGGCTGTACAGCCGGCTGGAGGCGGTCACCTTACCGGCCATATCAAATACACATTTCTCCATATAACATGCAAATCTATGCAAAACCGTGCAGCATTTAGTGGCTGGTGCACAAAGGAGTCCAAACGGAGCCTGTAAAACAGGACTCAAACTTTTGCATGCTAGCTGAGGAGGCTGCCTGCTCTGCAGATGCTTTCTTTCCTTTTTTTCCCCCCGTTTGTTTGTTAACCTGTCTTCTGAATTGCTCTGCAGCCTTATTCCAATTATCTCTGGACAGATCTGTCTGTCTCCAGCTCTTATCATTTCTCTCACTCAAACATCAGCCTTTCAAACGGATTGTCCTTCCAACAATCCAAAAGAAATTAGCGTAAGGGCTGTGAAATGAGCCGGTAAATCCTCACGCTGGAAAGGAGCCGCCAGAGGATGTCTGACTTATAACTAGCGTTAAAAAAAAGGTAAATAAATTTAAAAAAAGAGGAGGCTATCTACGAGGGTGCCTGTTCAAAAGCTCGGGGACAGCAGTGGCTGGAGTAACAGCCACCCACTCATTTACTGTGGGCGTGTTGTCAAGAGAGAGAAAAAATAGAGGGGAAAAAAAAAAGAAATCACACTTGTTTGCATGACTGAGAGATCATTTTCAGAGCCCTGGTTGGCTTCAGAGAGGCAGGGTATTTACTCCACCGCCCACATGGCTTTGAAAACCATCAAATGTTTGTGAGCCCGTGCTGTCATAACGAGCAGGGGAGAGGATGAGCACTGGGTTTATCTGAAATTGGGGCCGTCTACCCATAATATAGTTGATGCCTGCTTAGAAAACCTAAAACTAATCACAAAGTTAGTTTCCTTGCTTAAATTTTATTAAAAACAGCGCAGCGTGACTCAAACCTTTTTGCCTCTTTGTTTGGTCCCATCTTTACAGTCCACCTCTGCTTTTATTTTCACACCAGCAATGTCTCTATTCTTTGGTCCACCTCTTATCCTCACTTGCCCCCATTTTTCTATCTAAATCACAAAAATGATCTTGACAGCCCTCATTAATAGTGTATGAGAGCGTTAAGTGTCTAAGCACTCGGATGGGTTGCACCATTTGGAAGACAGATGAATCCATATCAGTAAATGTGACAGTTGAGTGCCCGTGTGCCAATACCAGTCCAGTTGCCCTTACCCCCCCCCCCCATTCCCAGAGGGACCACCGTTGGCTGCTCAGTCTCTGAGCCCCAGATAAGAGGGCGTCTTTAATGTGACAGTGGATGAGCACAGTGGGCTGTCAGGCTGAGAAGCCACTCCACTGCCTCCCCAAACGTGTCAAGTCCGTCTTTGGTAGCAATCCAGGCCACTATTAGATTTTTAAAAGCTTTTTTTTTTGTTCAGAATGCAAATGGCTGGGTAATGCATTCCTATTAACCGTGTTATGAAACGGGGTGTTGATGGATTTTATGCACAGAGGCGTTCTCCATAACGCACCCCATCCCGTACAAGTCGGGTTCATAGGTCCTACAACAGAGTTCAAAACGGTTCATAATTACAAGATTAGGGTTGTAAATGGAAGGATACTGCCCCATTAGACGGAATCCGATCCTCCCAGCCAAGAGGCCCGGCGTGGTAGATTTTTCATTGAAGTTGATTGGCTGGAGAAGCTTAGGTCTCCTAGGACCCGGCTAATTAGAAACATGAAGACCTGAGTTTATTAACAGTGTATGGACCGCGGCTACAGTGTGCACACATTAAGGATCGCCGGCTTGTTAAACAGAACCCTGCTTTTGGACTTCAGACAGACGCAGCTTTGTGCATCAGGCCCTAATTGGATATTCTCTCATGTATAGACGAGACGGGGGGCGCGAGGCCTCACCTACTCAGGCACCTGTTCGATCCGGCAGCGGTTGTTAGTAATTATCCTTTCTGCTGAGGAACACCTTGGGTTTTTTACTCTGGAATGAAACGCCATTTATCCAGGATATCTGTGCACTCACAGGTAGATCTTGACCAAATCAATTCCACAGGTGTAAAAAAAAACAAGGTTAAAATAAAAGGGTTCCTGTAATTGCTGCTCTATCGTCTAATGGGGCCCTCATCGAATTCAGTGTTTTTTTTGCATTCACAGCGAGGCGAGCTGAGGGCTTTCTCCTGACACGTGTTGTCCTTGAGCGCTGTTCATAGTGGGGATTCTAGGCCAGTGTTTGTTGATGCAGATTGATAATATACGTTCTCTCACATTCCATTGCGACCTTAAGTTCATCTTAAAATGATTTTTTATCTTGCAACAGATTTTTCTGAACGTGCGCCCAGCCAATCTGGGTTCTCGTGCTTCTTAATTAGGAAAAATGTGTGAAGAAATGGATAGATTAGATCTGTTGATTTGCCAGATGGGGGATAAACTCTTTTTACGGCCGTTAAAAAATTAACCACGCTGCTCTTATTTGATGGAAATAGGTTGCTGACACACATTCGAGGGTCTTTGATTACCAAAAGAAAGTGAGTGCATATGTGACTAGATCTCAGCCCTTTTTCCCTGAGTGTGGTTAAAAAAAAAAAAAGCAAAAGAAAAGAGCTGAACATCAGAAGCTTCCCAGCGGACAGGCCGTGTCAAACACGTGAAGTCTGCAGGACGGCCGGCCATCAGCTCGGATATTGTTGCGTCAGTAATCGCGAGCCTCGCAGCGAATCAGACGTTTTTATTTTTTATTTTAAGCCACGGCGTGTGCACAGAAAACGAGGTGAGGAGTTTTGCCCGCCAGTGCCAAACGCGTGGAGGAGACGGCGCGTACAGATCCTCAGATGAATCGCTTTTGGGTGCGATTTTCAGCTTTAAGAGCAGAAATATTCCACCTTAATGATGCCGCACTCGTACCCAAGAACACATGAGAGCCTGACAAATGGAAAAAAGTAACTCAATGATGCGAATGTAAAGAAAGTGTGCCGATGGGAAGCCGGCAGAGCACCTCTGGGGTGTTTTTAAAGGGAGAGGTCCAGTCTCGTGTCCTCTCTCTGGTCCCTCTGTTCCCAACTGAAATAATCCTGTTGTGCAGAGGTGTTTCATATCGTGTTTACCCCCACCCCCTCTACCCTTCCCATCCCTCTTCCCCTGCCTAACGGCCTCTCTCTCCGCCCTCAGGTGTACCCCGGGCTGATGGTGACCGCCGGCCTCATCCACTACGTGCTCAACCTGCTGCACATCACCGTCCACATCCGGGACGTGTGTGTCTTCCTGGCGCCCGTCTTCAGCGGCCTGACCGCCGTGTCCACCTTCCTGCTGACGCGGGAGCTGTGGAACCAGGGCGCGGGGCTGCTGGCGGCCTGCTTCATCGCCATAGTCCCGGGCTACATCTCCCGCTCCGTGGCCGGCTCCTTCGACAACGAGGGCATCGCCATCTTCGCCCTCCAGTTCACCTACTACCTCTGGGTAGGACCCGCGGGCTGGGGGGCGCCGCCACTTTTCATTCCGAGTCATTCCTATACATGTATTTGTTATGAAAGACCCACTATGAACATTTTTTTCTAATTATGTCTTCAAATGCTTTGTGAATGATCAAGTACAGCTGGGATTATTTGATGGTAAAGTGGGATCCTTTTGTTGCTCAATAGCAGGCAGGCTTAAAGTAGCCTGGAAAGCAGCCCTACTTTCAAGTTCTGCTCCCCTCCGCCGTTGAATTATTTATCCACAGCCTTGAAAAGCATGCTGGGCTTCTTTGTGGGCCATGTGGCATGCAGGATACGGCGCGAGGCACTTTAAAACCTTCACACTAAGATGACCTTTGAGAGCAGAATAGAGTAGAGTTAAAGGTGGGTTGCCCCCCCCCCGCTCGCTCCCCTTCTCTGGAATGCACGCAGCGCCACACGCTCTGGCCGGCCCATCACTTATTTTTCATCCGTTTTTTTTCTTCTTAGCCTTTCAGTGATTAAAAGAGTGTTTATTCAGGTTATCCTTGAGCTGCGGGGTGGATGTTTGACCGAACAAAGCGGATCCGCAGATAGGATTTTTATTTTCTTTCAGCTCGTGTTTGCTGCCGCCGCATTACCACGCCACGTCCCAGATGAAAGACATCCGAGAGACTTTTCATATCATTACCGTTTGTCCACTCTCTCAGTTGCATCAGCGGCTGTTGTTGCGCGCTGCAGCTATCTTTGCAGGAACACGTCTCCCAAGCACGCGTGCCTGAGTGTGAAATTGAAGAGCTCTGCTTTGTAAACGGTTTGATCACAATCTCTTTCTTTCTTTGATTGGAAATGACGGTGACGGGCATTGAGGAATTCTTCTTCTTCATCAAGCCATAGCTGTTCAGCGGAACAAGCTCATACCTTCGGAAACCTTGGGCAGACATAATAGAATGAGCCGGGCCTCTCCTGACACTCTTGAGCTGATATTGCATGTGTAACATTCAGATTGGGAGGGAGGGTGCGCATGCAGTGAAAGCTTCTCCTCAGAAATGTTATGGTTTTATTTTTTTTATATGCTAACTTCTATCGTACAAATCTAAGATCGTCTAATTAAAGATAGATCAATGAATGAGGCCTGGCTTTAACCCGATATGATCTCAGTTTTGGAAGAGGAGCCAGTTTAGACCCTACTGGATGGATGCGAAAGGAGACCAGGCTCCCAAAATGACATCACAATTGTGCAAGCGGTACCTGACCCATAAATCCTTCATGGGTGCTTCAGACTTCGTTGGTTGGTGGATTTTTTTTTTCCATTTTATTCTGCCCAGAGGAACAGACAGGGTTAATCTCATTTCTACTGCTGACGCCAGAGGGGAAGAAAGCGGGGACAAGTAAGTTTTGTACAGGCATATCATTAGAGCACATATTTGCAGAGCCTCCTGCTGCTGGGCTGCAGCAGTTGGAAGCGTTCCCGTCTCGTGTTGCAGGAGAGTGCCTTGTCAGAGGAAGGTGAGGGGCGACACCTGATCTGTGCTGGGACAGATGAATGTGGCCGGAGAGGGACGTCAAGTGGGACGTTTGGCTCTTGGGTTCTTGTCCTTAGTAAAGCTCAGATGCAGTGATGGTAACAGGAGGACACTCCTGCAGGCTCTCCTCCCAAATGTGAGAGGAAGTGGAAATAAATTGGAGAATAAATGATTTGAAATGACTGCTTGGCTCTAAACATAAAGGTGGCTGTCCTTCAGCTGTAATGCAGCAGATTAACGCTGTTGTCCGCAACTATATTTGACTTCAGCGATTAAGCCAACGGAAACAACCGAAGTTATTCCACACATTTACATTAATTATTGATATTCATTTATCTCTTTCTGCTGCTCTATTTAATTAGGCAAAAGGCATTGTGCCCCCCCCTCCACCTCCATCCCGGCGCCTTTGGTATTACCATGACAGACTACCTTGGTCCTCCAAGAGGGTACTCGTGCATTCCAGCCATGTGTCCATTATTGACCAATTGTGGCTTTGTGGCTGCTGAAAGAAAAATAATTGGCTCACTTCCAGTATGACATTAAAAGAAAAGCATAGCTGACCAAAAAGGCATATTTATATAATCCGCTTGCCTATAAAGAAAAAGAATGTCTCCACCAGTGCTGTTGTGTGCCCACCTGCAGCTCATGAAGAAATATCTGTCCCCCCCAGAGCAGCGCAGAGCCTGCAGGAGTCGCATGATTATGCAGATGTGTGTTTGCAGGCCAAACAACAATGCACATCAGTATTCAGGATAAATGCTCTGTCTTGGCTCATTATTGGATCATTCAATTATCGCACAGCGTGCTCAGACAAATTCAGGCAACTGTAGATATTAGAATCTCTCCCCAACAAATGCAACTTTCTGTTCTTCCAGATCATTTAAAATCATTTAACCTTTTTTTAAATAATTCATCTGAGTTCATCCGAATATTGGTCGGCAGCGAAAACAGCAGGTGTGAAATGCTAATTAGACACAAATACATCTGAGTTTAGTCTTTTTAGTGTGTTGAATTTTTGCTTAAATGATCAAGTTTGACAGATAACCTTCAGAGACACATTTTCCTCATGATTGTTGGGGCTCTGAGCCGGACGGAGGCTGTTTTTTCTTGTTAGCGGGAGCCTCGGGCTCCTTGTCCAATATTTAGTGGAGTTTGGCTGCGTTTGTGTTTCTGTACGTTTGAGTGAGGACGGATGCTGTGGAGTTGGGGCTTTCATCCAGCTGGAGAAAGGAGTACAGGAGTTGCATCATGTCCCTTCACCTCAGTTGTCACAGCATAAGAAATCTCGGCAGTGGGTGGAGCGTCTACCTGGAGGGGGCTTTTCAGCCAAGTCATTCAAGGATACTTTGCCGAATCACGTGTCGAATTTAATGCCTTCGTTTTGAAAGAATTGGAGGCTCTGCGGGATCCCCTGCGACATGTGTTTGATCCGGCCCGTGGTCGGCTCCGACAGCGTGTCAGCATGCAGGTGTCTGTCTGAGCCCTCTTCTTTAAGCCACCCGATAAAACTCTCACCGAGCGTCTGTGTACCCACTCAGCGGAGCGAGGCCAAGCGGCTGATAGTTCCACTCACTTACACATCCTCAAACACTCCGCGTCTCTCCGTAAGCCACACGCACTCAAGGAATGTTTGCACACTTGTATGCAAACACGTACAGTACAATAGTGCTCCGAGCTGGATCGGCTTTCACGGCCACACGGCTTGAAGTCTCAGGTAAGAAATGAAGACGCATTACTCACCGGATCCTGGTCAAAGGGCACTTCATCAAATAGCAGCGCGGAGACCAGGAGGGTGGTCTCACTTTATGCGGCACAGCAGCTAAACAAAAGGACTTTTATCAATGTTGTTTAGGTTGATAAATGACATCGAAAGGGAAGGCGGGGAAACAACTGAAACCAGAAAATTTAGTTAATGAGTTTAGGAGCAAGGACTGCAAACTCAGCTCAAAGCTGCAGTTTATCGATCTCTTTCTTTTCCTTTTTTTGGAAGAGGTGAGCAAAAAGCTAAAATTTATCTAAAATAGACTGGCTTCCATTTGGTGTATTTTTTCTAAATTATTACACAAAACCTGCTTCCCTAAACCAAGATCTTGTTCAACGCTTTCATTTCATTGTGCAGATCTGACATGGTTGAACTCGTCACGCGTCATCAGAGCCAATAATAATCTGTGTGTGTGTGTGTACTGAACCTGCGTCTGTAATATGGCCTCCTGTCGTCATGTGTGTGCGAACAATACATCTCCCGGTGAGGCAGGTGTTCCTCACAGCAGCCATCACTTCCCCTTAAGGTAACATGTCATGAGCAGAGCAGGGCCATTGCAAAATAAATAAATGACTCTTCCCCCATCCCTGTTCAACAGCCCCCTGTTCAATTTGGAAAGGATTCCAAAAAACAATCATCCTGGTCATGCACCGCTGCTTCTCATTATCAGTCTCATTTACTCCTATTCCTCTTTGAGTTTTCCTCCTCCTCTCCGTCCCTCCTCCATCTTGTTTCTCATTAATTGTCGGCCTTCCTTTGTCTCTGCCGTTGTCCAGCTCTCGCCATCTTCCTTTGTACGAATCCACCTCCTTGTTTTTCCAGCCTTGTTCTCGTTACTCAGACCTTCTTTGTCTGCGTCCATTACCCCCCCCCCCCCACACACACACACACACTCACACACACATGTCCGTTTCCCCCCTCATCTCCTTCACATGGCAGAAATGTAAGAAGCTGTTCTCTCAACTCGGCGCCCAATCTTCATTACCTGAGTCCTTCACTTAAACTGCTAATAACCCATTCAACTCGGCTCACTTAATCTGTGTTTACCCCCCCAACACACACACACCCTCCTATAATCTATAATTGAATCCTCTCAGATGGAGGAGAGCACTTTTTTTTTTCTATAGCAGAGGACCGTGCTCACGCAGCTTCCCTCTGTCTGCGTTGTGGGGACAGTAATTCCTCTCTCTCTCTTGGCTCACGTTTAATTAGCTGCAATTTTCTTGCACCGTGAGACTTCCGTGTATCCCCAAAGGGGCCGGCGGCTGGCGGCGGTGGCTGGGACCCCGCTCGAAAGCCGGGCCTGCATTAAAGATTTGGCCCAATCTGAGTAAGAATCTTGTCTGATGAGAATGCAGCTTGTTCGGATACTATTGTTATCCTGCTTTCCCTTAAATGTTGTGATAATTGCTGGATAAAAAGGAAGCCTCAGTGTGGAGCCATTCCATATTTTGGGAGGTTTGTGGCATTTCTGACAATAAGATAATTTAACCGACTAAACTTCTGACTTAATTTCATCGGTTAAAGTCTTAACTCCTATATCTTTTAAATCCCTGAAATCTTCTTTTACCGAAAGAAATGAGCAGACGCTAAACGTATAAAGCAAAGTCATTATATGTAAAGTAACTTCAGCTCTAACTAAAGACCACAAAGAGCACAATCATCAGCAAAGTGCCCATAAAACAGCCCATTTTGATGGGCTTTTCGGGTGTTTCAATTAAAGTTCATCCTTCGCGTTTTCCTTCTGCTGGAAAAAGCGGAGCACCCGCGTCTCGGCATACATTATGGGCTTTTACGCCTACCATGAGTTTATCTGGGGCATAGAGCCTAAGAAGACATATGTGGGCCAGACAGGATTAAGATCAATAATAGGCGCATGTGATGTTTAAACCTCTTTATCTTCTTCTGGGGAAATATCTCATCTGACAGGGCCTTAATTGTCCTGCTAGCTCATGCGGAGCCACGAGGCTCTGAAACATTCCCACTTCCTCCTGCCACAAAAACTAAATTCCATGTTCATTGGCATGAATCTGTTCACCTTGAGGACACTCACTGAGGCACATTTCAAGATGCACTAACAGTGTAAAGCCTCACTGGAGTGTGCAGATGATCGATTCGGAGGTCTGTGTCAGAGCGTTTTGGGGGGTGACACCAACTTGGTCCAGCAATCATCGATTCCCCCTCTCCGGTAAACAGACATTGTTGGATGCCATCACACCTCCCGACAACATCTCCAAACTCCAGTCGTGCTGGTAATCCAAACTGGATCATCTGAAAGGTCGCTCTGAAATGCTTCATCTTTTGTGTGTCTGCTTGGAGGCGCGTTTCTAAATGCTAAATTTCACACCGGCTGGCTTTAACAGCTTCTGGCTTGTTTACAAGATGCTGCGCCGTGGCCCCCATCTGAACTGGTCTTGTGTCACTACAGCTTTGTGTTCCGTATCCGCTCTGATCAATAAACCATTTCAAACCCAACATTTGACCTTTAATAAAGTGAAGGCAAGTTTCAAAATGCAGCCTCTTTTTTTTTTTAAATAAGAGGAGCAAATGTAGCAAAGCAGGCAGTCGGCATTCAAGCCTGATTCGAGTCAGATATTTGTGGGGAAATGAAATTAGAACAGCGTGCCAGAGAAAATGCGGAGTTTTATCTGTGGAGCTTCATTTTACATTAAAGATTGGATTGCAGACCGTCACGCTGCCTCTTAAATCACTCCCTGCGTTCTGTTTCTCCCCCCTTTCAGGTGAAATCTGTGAAGACGGGCTCGGTATTCTGGACCATCGGCTGCTGTCTCTCCTACTTTTACATGGTAAGATCAGCCCACACATAAATGTTACATCAATTAAAGTCAACAAACTCGCAGCTCTGCAGCAGCACAAACCGTCTCACATCTTAAAGAACCTCTTGTCTGTCGGCACCATTTTCCTTATTGAGTGAAAGGAACTGGGACTATGCTCCTCTGGCCTTGCCTTGTTTCCACGACAATACGTCCATTTATCTAGCTGAGGTGTAATTCAGCTGTAGATGTTTGAACCAGATTGTGATTGTCAGGAACAGCAAACTAAATTATACAAGGCTGGTCAAAAGTGGAAGTATCGGCATTGTAATTTATTTACTCCTCATGTCTTCAACAATAGTAGAAAGCAGGTGGCCACAGCCACACACACCAGGAGATTCATGGCGACAGTGCATGAATTGCGAACAACAGTTGGAGGAAGCATAAACAGATTTTGAAAAATAATTAGTTTTTTTTTTTTTTTGTCAAATCCCATATTCTTCTGGGATTCAATTCGTTAAGCAGCTGGAAAAATGCTGACTGCGTTCTCTCCAGTTGGCTTTTATTGGCCACTGTGACGTCCGCAAATGCAGCAAATCGGCTTTCCTTGTCGTTTATTAGTAACACAGGAATGCTCGCAGAGAAATGCTGCTGACCGACGTAGTCCCTAAAACAAAGCACTGCTTGTTAGATCTCCAGCTTCCCACAGTCTGTGTGATGAGGAATCCTTGAGCAAGGACATGCTGATGATGCCCCACATCGCCTCCTAATGCCTTCCTCATTCCTCATTCAGGTTCATTGGATGAAACTATCTGCTGAATGAATTTCTATGCAAACAGGACAAATTGCCACTGATAGTGTGCTAACTTCCCCTTGTAGCCTTCACTAGCCTGTGATTTCTAAAACCACATTCAAACTAGCAGTAAATGGTGAAATCCTGCAGGTGTTCGACTTGATATTCATGTTGAATTTAAGTTGTTTTTTAAATTCCTGACATATAAGCAGTTCTGTGCTTATCTCAGGATAAAAAGTGCCCTTCAAATCCACAATATAAACATTTAGAACCCAGCACAAAAAAGAAGGAAAAGGAACTGGTCCCAGTTGTTCGATTGAACCACCCGTTTTCCATAATTCATGGGATTATTTGGTGTCAGGAGGGATTTTTTTTTATATTTGTTCTATGCTTCAGGTGCTTCTTTGCAGTCAAACAAAATCTGCTGTGCTGCAAGCACTGCTGGGTCACATCTTACTTGTATTCTTGCTCTGTGGCTGTCCTCCATCGAGTCCCCTGGTGCCCTTTCTACAACACAACACAACACTGTCACGTCCTTAAAGTCAGATAAGCGCCGAGGGCCCTAATTTGCCTCAAGGTGTTTGAAATTATGGGCTTTTTTCTTAACAAATCCCCCCTCATTTGCTGTGCAGTTTGCTCCAGTTTTTGAAAATAATCCCAGCCCCCTGTCATCCTGTCCTCTGTGCAGCACCGACATGAGATCCATGGAAACTGTTCAGAGCAGTTTAGCCAGTGTTTGCTGCATTATTTATGAAATCAGACACAAGCTCATCAGGGGGTTGATGGGAGGGATGAGACTTAAAAAAAAGGCACAGTGCCTCGGCGGCAGATTATTTGCATGTGTCTGGGAGAGCACGGCGACTGTGAAAATATCTACTCCCTCCTACTTTCAAAAGAACGCCCTGTGGCCAGCAGAGAGACAGATGTCAAGCAAAACAGATGACCCAAATCCAGCTTCATCGATCACGCTGCGGGGGGAGGGAGGGGAGGGCGCCTATAAGACGAGGGTGTACGGGGAGAAGATTGATGGAAGGTTGAATGTCACAGGAGATGAAGCAAAGTAGAGGGTGGAGATACGGGGGTGCTAAAAGATCAGAGGGACGAAGAGAGAATCTATCACAACGTGGGACTACCACACCGTTGTAATCGGTAATCAGTATTCTTAATCCTAATAGTTTTTTTCACCTCCTCAAAGCCTCTCCTGGGTGAATGCGATGTCCCTTTGCAGTCCTTCTGCAGGGAGCCCCAAAGCAAGCTTGTCAGTCTCCATCATTGGGCCTTTTACCACACTATCACCTTATATTGTCTGTTTAATCAGGAAGTGGCCATGGCTATATTTTGCTGTAGGGCTTAATTAAATGTGGCAGTCGTAAAAGGCAGATATGGGGAAATAGACAGGGCCAACCCTCTGCCTCGGTGTTGGTATAATCAGAGGGGAGAGGATCTGAAAGGATAAGATTAAGAAGAGGATCAGAGCATTGATGGACAAGAACCCCAGGAATCTTTCTGCCATCATCCTGCTTTCAACCCTTCAGGGGGTGGGGGGCCGAGCAGGTGAGGCTGGACTGAAGGGGAAAAGAAGGGCAGTTCAATCCCAAACTATTGACTTATTCCTTTCTCTAACCCAACCCCGGTGTCCTCTGGCTGAGTTGCCTGTAATGTCAGCGCGTGTCTAAAGCACCTCTGCTCTGCCCTTGTTCTGAGCACAAGGCCTCTCAGTTAATTGCTTAAAGGATACGGTTTAGTATGAGCGTGGAGGCAAAGCAGCCTCCTCTGATAAGATAACGACGTCAGAGCGTTATTGTTTGCCGAGTGGCTCAGACCACTAGTCCGGTCCTGTCCAGTTTTGTGCCAAATAGACGGGGCGAAAATATACAAGCAATCACCTCTCATAAATTGTTATGAACACTAATATGTACTTTAGGGTTTTATATCCCTAAAGATTAAAGTGCACCAGGAGCTAGGCGTCTGTCCAGCGTACAGCATCGAGTAATCAGCCCCCCCCCCCTTATCATCACGCATCTCCCCCACTAATTATGTACTCCAGTCATTTAGATGCTCATGGCAGACTCGAGATATTTATGCCAATTTGTACACCTCGCTTATCCAGAAAGACACGGCCGGTATTAAAGGGGGCACGGTAAATGAATGGTTGCACATCTAAACAGGACAACATCATGACTAATCTGAGCAACACCCAACAAGAGCAGCTCGCTCCGAAACCCCCCCATACATATTCATGCGCACACACGCAGTGAAAGCCTCTCCACGCTGCGCTCTCTTTATCCTCTTCAAAGTGGTTCCGTGGTCATCTGATAAACCCGGCATGAAATGCAGAGGGCGATAACGGCTAAAAGACTTGGCTTCAAACGTTTTCGGATGCCTCCTGCCCTCTGCTGCTGCTGTCGAGCTCTGGCAGAGGGCTGGTCTTCAGAGCTGTAATCTCCAATAGAGCCGCTCTGCCATTACGCAGACAAATGGCCATCGCTTTTGTGTCTGCTATTCATCTTTCCATGGTCCTCTATCGGGACCAATAGGCCATTTAAGCACATATTTTTTCCTCTGGTTTTGATGGGGTGCTCGAGATTCAAGTGAGGACAGTGGTTTGCATGGTGCCAATCACAGACTCGAAAATGAGCAACGGTCTTCTGGTGGTGGATCTGTAATTCAGTGGGTTTTTCTACCACTGTGATGCATTCCCCGTGTAGAGCCTGCATTTTGCTGCAACTGTCATCTTTATCTGTTAGTAAAATGTTGACAGCTACTGAACGGATTGCAGTAAACCTTTACTGTGCCTGTTCACTCTGCTCCTACCTGTAATTGCTTTGGAGGTCCAGAACCTCCCCCAAGCGTCATTCTTCAGGAACTATATACCAGTTACAATTCAGATTTTCTCATCAGCTCCTGAAAGTGTCTTATTGTTGTCTTACGGCTGGTGTCTCTCTTTTGAGATAGCCAGGCGCCAGCCATTTAGAAAAAACCTCTAAACACTGTTGTAGTGAGGATGGGAAATGTTTTAGTCTTCATCCATCTGATGTCACATAGAGCCTCAGTCTTTTGTCCAATGAGATCGACATGCATCTGAAAACGGGTGGTTAACCTTGACTCTCAGGGTCAGCAATGCTCCTCGTCATCGTGTAGTCTAACTCACACATCGATATTTTAAGGGGCCCTTCTGTGCAGCTGTTATGAATGAACTAGAGCTCACAGGAGTCCCCGCTATGACTTATTGTGAACGGCGAGTTCAAAGGGCTGCGCTGTTCACTCGGTTGTCACAGATGCATTACATTTAATGTTTCCCGTAGATTGCAGTTAGCGTTGCACTGGTTCTAGATTCCCAAGCCCTCCTGCTGGCTTCCTCGTAATCCCGCTGTGCGCCCCCTTTCCCCGGCTTTCCGACATGCCTGAAACGCTGCGGCGGCAGATGGCGCGTTCAGTCCAACTGTGCCGTTTGGTAGCCGCTCGCTGAGCTTCCAGTGCCGCGCTTTCAATTAGTTCCCAGCAAGTCTCCAGCAGTCCTGATCAGCCATCCCTGTGTCAACACCGAAAATGAGTCCTAAATTGAAGACATCTCTGGTATTCATTCCAGCTACGGTTCGCAGGCTTCTAATTGGCTGTCACCATCTGAGACAACAGATGCAAGTGACAGCCAAAAGATAATTGCACCGGCAAAGAGCTTATTTATGTTTTTATTTCCCGTTACTCTCTGCCTTTAAGTGGAATATTACTGGTTTTATTCATTAAACACAGCATCCTTCCCACTCCCATGATCATGAAAGTGTAATGAATTCCTCTTTTATCGTACTTAGCAGGTGCAAAGAGGATATTTTTGACGAGTAGTTGTGAAAATGGATCAAACAATTTGCATACATGTAATCCCCTTTCCTGTTTAATTCCCCCTTTTCTCTCTGCCTCCTCTCCTGCTTTCGAGGTTTAGCATTCCAGCAGCCACCTTTCATTTTCTGCCTTTTCTGCATTATTTTACTTGTACTCCTTCCTCTCCTGTTCCTCTGCCTGCCTCTCTCTCTCTGCTTCGCTCGCCCTTTGCCACAGAGCAGCACAGACAATTGAGAAGTGGTTTTATGGGCAGCACATCCAGTGTTGCGATCCCCAGCAGGCCTCAGTAACAGCTGAGCTCTGCTTTTACTGGAGCTTTTAAATTTATTGGTGCATCTCATATTTTACATCTTAACTCTCATAGTTTTTCCAAAGACAAATTTGTTTACGTAGCAGGCGATTGGCTGACTTACCAATATCAAAATAATGCCTGTTGTGCGTTTGAGGTCAGAGGACACAGTTCAGTTCATGAATTAGAAATGCCTCACGCTACAGTCTGCAGGTTTATAGATCGTAAAAGGAAAGGGATGGGCCCCAAACGGCGCTCGCATCCCAGAATTCAGTTTGCAATTGCATGAAAGTGCACCGCGATGTTGTAATCTGAGCTTCAGTTCCCATCTCTACACCTCTGAGGTTTGCTGGCCAATGTCTGACAGAAGCAGTTAACGGCTGAACATTTCTGCCGGGTTTGAAGGCCAGCTAATGTCTCCATGCAGCCCACCCTTTATGAGTTGCTCTAACAGATCTAGTAAACCTTGCTCTGCTGCACTGGTGTAACATCCTCCATTTAAAACCTTGTTTGGCAGCCTTGGCTAGAGGACGCCAAATACTAACAAAAGGAGCTAATGGCGATAATAACTGAGGTTTTACTGCACAGAGTTCATGTTCTGACATTTGTTTGGCGTTTCTCCTGTGTTTTTTTTCTAGGTGTCTGCTTGGGGGGGTTATGTGTTCATCATCAACCTCATCCCTCTGCACGTGTTCGTGCTGTTGCTAATGCAGCGCTACAGCAGAAGGGTCTATATCGGTAAGCTTCACACAACACACAAGCAATTCAACCAAACCCTAGGTTTCTCTGGCAGACATGCCCTTCCTGATGTTTTTTTTTTTTTTTCTTTTGATGTTCTCAGCCGCTCTCAGTGGTACAGAATTGTATGCATTAAACAGATTATCCGGTGCTCTTTCTCTATGCGTTTCCAAATATTGTTGCATGAGCACTTGACCCTTAAACAAGCTGCAGTGCCCAGTCACACCAGCGCCCATAGGACAGCGTTTCACCGCAGACGTCCACACACCCACACGCCACTTAACGGTTAATGCGGCCGCCCGCCACCTCATCCTCTCTCCCTTTGTTTAGTTTTTTTATTTTTTTTTTTTACAAACACCAGAGGGCTGGTGAAGACGTAGGCTTGTTATTACTCAGATCTGAGGCGTGTTGGCAGCTCCGGCATTATTCACCAGCTCGTGGACCTCAGTCCTCAATCCCGGACCACCCGAGCATCCGTTAGCTGTGCTCAGCAGGCACTCCTACAGTGGTCAAGATAAATGTCAAGTATCAGTTTTTAGATGATTAGATATTGTACTCGTGAAGAAGAGTCTTTGAGAGCTCTGAAATGCATTATGGTGCTCTTCAGCTGGAGAGCTTTGCTCCATCTCCAAACAATCCTTCCAAAAGAAAATCATGTACGTTGAAGCAAGCATATCGAGGACGTGTGCTGCCTGAGGATCATTCACGAGCCCGCTGCACCTTTTGATGGTAAATGAAAGATGGAGAAATGCATCTGTTTGGCTTATTCTGACGGAGCACCTGCTCTACAGCTTCCCTTCTCTCCCCGCTCCGTCCCCCTGCTCCTCCTTTCAGAGCCAGGTGTCTTGGTCTTGAATAAGGACGGTGGGGAGAAAAAAAAAAAAAGGAACCTACTTTCACAAAAATACCTCGCAGTCAACGTTCCCTCGCAATTCATCTCTTTGTTGAGTCAATAGCAGATGTGTGAGAAAGTGATTGCTGAGGGCGGTTTCAACTAGGTACTTCAAAAACGAGGCAGACTCTTCAAGAAAACTGTGAAATCTTAATTAAGCAACTGTCTCTGCGACTCGCTTCCCCCGAGCCACAGAGGTGGTGGCCACGCCGTTCTCAGCCTCGTCACACTCCACAACTCCCTGCCAGACGGTGCTGGGCCAACTCCCACCCCCCCCACCCCCAAAACGACATTAGATTAGTGATTCTGTATTTACTCCCTCTGAGATACCACAGTGTAAATCAATAAGCTTTAAACACTTGTATTGAAGTTGAATTTGCTTTGTTTGTTTTGTTTGTTGTTTCGGCTGCTGTAATTCATTTTCTCTCTTAGAAGTCTTATATAGCTGTCCTCTCTCTCTCTCTACAGCTTACAGCACTTTTTACATCGTGGGGCTCATACTTTCGATGCAGATCCCTTTTGTCGGCTTTCAGCCAATCAGGACCAGCGAGCACATGGCTGCTGCCGGTAAGTCAGGCCCTCTCCACCTGCAGTTGCTCATCTTTTTATTTTATTTTTATTTTATTTTTTTTTAAAGAATAGGTTCCCTCCGGAAAATTATTCACAAATGCCCCCCTCGCCTGATTATGAAGTCAGCAAGTTTTGGGGAAAGTGCAACAGCCTTTATTTGAAGTTATGAGTCAGTTTTAATGAAATGTCACAAACACTTGAACGCACACGCAGCAGCTAGCACTTGTTTTTCTACCCGGTGATGTGGTCTCATGTGGGCCGTTAATGCCGGTTTAATGTGGAGCCTGCCTGCTCACCGCAGTGTGCACCATACATCCCAGAGGAATGGTTTGAATTTGAACAGTATAGAGCTTAGTAAGCTGTTATTAAGATGGCTGCCCGCCATTCACTACCAGAAGAGCTGTCAAAATAAACCGGAGTTGGTTGTGTTTCCACTAACTGGTTTGAAGAGAGGAAACCGGGCTGTGCAGAGTTGTCAGAGGAAGGCGGCACAGACTGAGCAGCTGTGGCTCGTGTTCAGTAGGAGAAGTAGTCGTTGTAAGGGGGAACAGAGTTCATGGTGGAAAAAACACAACAAAAACGTCTGTGTACGTCCAATTGAAGAAAATGAAGCACACCATCGAGGAATTGTTGTTTTCATTTTTGTTTGTCCGCATCGTCACTCCTTGAGTTTGACACCAGGAGGACCAGCCGCAAAAACTAAAAGGAGACAAATGGAAAAACAGCTGGTGAATTTGATCGTTATTCAGGGTAGGCAAAGCGTTCTCCAAACGTGTCCCTCCTCAGTGGAAACAGCTGAGTGTATCTGCGCTGGTGCTGGCTGCTGAAAGTGGGCCGGAACAGGAATTGATTCATCCCGCGTTGAGAGCGTTAGTCATGCTCTGTCTGACCCGGGATGCATTTACAATACAGATAGGGAAAAAAAGCACCTTTTGGTTAGGCATATCTGTGTGAAATGCTTTTCATTTTGACTTCTGGGAAGTTTCTTAAAGCTTGCTTAGTTTCCCTCCTCCATTGTGGGGCTGTCTGCTACCTGGTAGCGAAGATAGCTGCAGTCGTGCGTTCCTGTGATTGTAGGAGGCTCCTGGAAGCAGAGCAAAGCCATTTGGAGAATTAGCATAACCTGCAGTGGGTCTCATGTTGTCAGGACCGTCTGCAGAGACTTCGGGTTTGAAACCTTCAGGTATGATCTCTGAATTAGCTCTAGCCACCAGGAGAGCAGCTGCTCAGAACATCTGGCGGTGGCGCTGGTGGTGTGCAGCGGGAGATGTGAAGGGAGTGACAGAGCCACAGACCTGTCTGTGTCTCCAGCGCGGGCCCCTTAGGAGGGAAGCAGAGCGCTGCCGATTGGCAAGCAGGTTAGCACCGTGACTTGTCCCCAGAAGACAGGCAGCGACTTAACCTTGGAAATGTGCGAGACCCTGAGCAGGAAGCTGCTGGCTGGCAGAGGAGTGGGGGAGATTTCACGCAGGATTTGGTGAAGGTGACGAAAAACGGAGAAACCGGGCCTCTCCGATGTTTCAAATTTGATATCAAATCCAGCAGACGGGCAAAGAGGCAGATGGGAGAAAACAGCCCAGAGAGGGTGAGAGAGCAAATGAGAAAAGACGTGTGACTGACTGGGCCCCAAAGAAAGATGAAGCAAGGGGAAAGAAGGGTTTATTTACACAAGCCTGCCTCATGCATTTGAAAGATGTTGTCCTGCCGTATTTGTCTTTCACATCTGCCTGAATAGCCAAAAGGGATGTTGTGGGCTGCTTTGTGGAGGATTCCGCCAAAGCGACAACAGTGATTCTGTGCCGCACAAACCTGCTTTGTACCCTGCAGGAGGCTGCATCAATCAGGGCCTCCTCAAACATTCAGCTGGAGTTTTTCCTTTACCATGTTTGCTCAGTCTTTTATGTCTGCCTCTTCCATTTTTTTTCTCAGGTGTGTTTGCTCTGCTGCAAGCGTACGCCTTCCTGCAGTACCTGAAGGACAGGTTGACCCGACAGGAGTTCCAGACGCTTTTCTTCCTGGGAGTCTCTCTTGCTGCTGGGGTAGTCTTCCTCACAGTGATCTATCTCACCTACACAGGTCTGTGTCTCCGTGTCTGCAACGATGCCCCGGATACACTGAAATAACCACTCTGAAAATGTTTTAGCGTGTCACAAACAAAGCTGGTGTTGCCACAACGAAGTCAAATCTGCAGCAGCAGCAGGCTAGGGAGGGACGGCCACCCGTCCTGGCCGTTTAGGGCTCTAAAGGACAGGAGCGGGTTTAAGTACTAAACTCAGTGTTTGGGCTGCATCACGCTGTGTTTAAACAGCCCTCTGTATTCAGGGCAAAGCAGCTCAAAAGATACCAGTGTTCAGTTATTTGATTTCAACACTTTCCCGTCTAAAATGTGTTTAAAATGGACTCCAGTGATGCAACTGATTAACCAACCGAAACTGGAGCCATTATGTGGCCATCTTTATAATGTAATTGTAATTTATTATTATAAATAGTAAAAAGACAAACTTCTTGTTTTGCTTGCGTTTCAGCTCAGTAGCCAAACGCTGATTTATTTATGTCTTCAAATAGACTGAAAATGACGGGCAGCGACAATCAGTTAAATGTATTTTGGTGTTGATTCAGATCTGGGATTTCAGCCATTTGATATCTTGTTTTCTTTTCTTAGCCAAGCATAGCAGTGCAGCCGTCCACGCTCCCCTGATGGCCTGACCCCCGGGCCTCCCCAGCGGCCTGCTAATCAGTGCTCTATTTTTCTTGAATTTAAACTTGGAGGATAAATCATAAACAAATAGACAGCGATATGGGTTCAGCTATTGAGGGCTGATGGAGGACGGGCGGTTGCCAGGTGCCGAGAGATGCCGGCGGCTGTGGCTGTCGTGAACACAGTTGTCCAGTCATTTGAGGAGAAACTGACTGGTCTGCCATCTGCATTCTGTCTGCCATCTGAAGGCAGCAGCAGGACTCGTGGCGGCTTGGTGTCGTGCCGCCTGCACGCGACTCCTATGACTGTCAGGATATTGTCTCGCTCTGAATCACAAGAAAGTGGCCTGCTTGTCCCCAGTGTCTTTGGAAACCAGAGCCAGTTTTTGACTGGCTTTAACAGTGACATCCTAGAAATATGGCAGAATAAGCAACTCCCACATCTTTTTTTCCCCCATTTCTTTTTAACCATCTTTTGTCAGATTTATTCAAAGGGTTCCCTATCTTATTCAAAAGACTCAGCTAAATGTTAATGCAATCTTGTCAGGAAGTGTAGAATTTTAAGGGTAGAGCTTTATTTACAGATGTGAGTCTATGTGAGTGGCTCTAAGAGCCCCGAGGACACCGAGCCCAAATATATTCCACATCAAAAGAAGACATTTGTATGCACACATAAACGCCCCGTGCAGTTTAATCTGCTGCTTAAATGGTTGCGGTTACATTTATAAACAAGTCAATTTCACTAATGATGCGGCTTCAGTAGCACATGTTTTCAGCATTGACGTTCTTCGCCGAGGACTTTCTTGCCGTTACATTCTTAATTGTCAGTAAAGTTTTTGCTTTATACATTTAGTCTCTGGATTGGAATGAGTTTGGTTATTTATAGAATAAACAAGCACAGTTTGACCATAACATGATCACATCTGCCCATCCATTTCCTGCCGCTTAACCAGATCCGTGCAGGAGTCAGCGGATCATGTTCGTCGGGAGAGCGAAGTTGCTTTTCCTGCGGTAATGTGTTGTTTCGCTGAATCCTGACAGTGAACTGGAACTAGTTTGTGTTTCCTCAGGCTGGCTCTCCTACATAAATTCATGCTTCTCTGTTGGTCAGATAATATTTCCTCTTGTTTATCTAAAGCAGATTTATTGAGTTTGCCATATAAATGGGAATTTATTGAAACAAAAGGACCGGCGGCAAATTGAGGAATGAAGGTGTCTTTTAAGATGTATCCGTCATCATCTGGCAGAACTCTGCTGTATCACAAAGCGACAAACCTCCTGAAAATCTGTCAGCAGTCCTTTGTTGGCAGGTTTCAAATGAAATGCAATCAAACTCCGGCGTACCATCACTGATTCTGTCCTCTGTCCATAGGATACATTGCTCCCTGGAGTGGCCGCTTCTACTCTCTCTGGGACACCGGGTAAGCTCTGCTGACCTTCACACTCTCTCCACGGAACACTTGTTCAGTGGAGTGTGTTTTCTGATACGGCTATAAACCCAGGCTGCAACATCCCAGAGGGGGGACCCTGCTTTCTGCAAATGCTGTGCAATGTGTGTGATATTACAGCACAGCCCAATCAAACCTGCCCCCCCCCCCCACCCCCCCCTCCGCCCCCCAAACGGGTTTGCTGATCCAAGCAGAACAGGGTTGTTTTCTTTCCTTTTTTCGTACCTCCTTTGGAGGCCGATACTAATTCCTAATTGTGCTGTTTTCTCTTCCCCAGCTGTAAATACAAAAACAATTTAGGGAGACATCTGTAATACTGCATAAACACGCATGTTCAAAAGCCTATCACAAACAGAGAAAAGGCACACTTCACTTTACAGCTCAGCGTCGCTCATCACTAGTCTCATCATTAGTATTTCCATTTTCAGCCGATAATTCCTGCTTATCAGGAGGATCTGTTGGTCTCAAAACCCACAACGTGTCCAGCCTGCATTACAGCCCCTCTGTTTCTCCCCCCTCCCTCCACAGCTATGCAAAGATCCACATCCCCATCATAGCGTCCGTCTCAGAGCACCAGCCCACCACATGGGTGTCCTTCTTCTTCGACCTGCACATCCTGGTCTGCACCTTCCCAGCAGGTCTCTGGTTCTGCATCAAGAACATCAACGATGAGCGCGTGTTTGGTGAGGAACCTTTTTAACGTCTGAGCACACGCATCAAAGCTTGATTTCTACCTGGAGCTCAAAGATTACGTAAAGCTGCGTCATTCCATTTTTTACATAATAAGGAGCGTATTTAAACAAACTTCTCTCACCGTCGCTCAGTTGATTGAATCTTTTTCAGCTGCCCTGGTTATTGACTTTACCATCATCACTGTGAAGGGTCACAGCATTTCCCCTGACCCGGACCCCAGGGCAGGGGAAGATGAGGGGATGGGGCTTACAAATGGCACAAAGTCAATCATTTTGTCTGAGGCTGAGCCTGCTGACCATTATGCCTCCTAAACTTGTCAAATATTGACATTGAGGATCTCAGAAGTTTGGTTTTCAGCGACTTGGTCGGATGGATTTTAAGATGAACCTTACTTTGATTCCATTTGGCAAACACGGAGTCAAGCTTTAAGCTTATCTCATAGCACAGCGCCAAACCACCTCCTCCTCATACAGTTTGGAGGTCATTTCACTGACTCTCAAACCTTTGCCGTCTCATTTGTAATCTTTTGATTCTTTAATAAAAGTAAGATGAAAGCTGCTGCTTTTTCTTTGTTTGAGGCTTGCACAGAGGATCCACTTACAGTCTAAACCCAAATATTTTCACTGTGATGTTGAAACTAGGAGAATCGTCTCTCGTCTCATAAGGAGAGGAGCGTCTTTGGGGAGGATTTCCAACTGTTAGTGTGACCTCCCAAGTTTCTTCTCATACAGTAAACTCCTTTGACACACTGAAGTGAAATACTATGCATTGCATCACACCATGTGTGTAATTTTGTGGGAAAAGTGAATTCCATATTGAGTTTGTTACTCCTACCAGCCTTAACGGAATGGTAAGCTCCAGAAATGTGTTTCACTGAAAACAAGCTTTTATGCTTTTTGTCAAGGAGGCACATTTTTCACACTCTGCCAGAAAACAACTATTTGATATGGAGAGTCGAATGCAAAGCTCCAAAATGCTCCAGTTCAGTCACCAAAAACAGGCACAGTATTCAAACCCAGTGGCTGAGGAGGCCGTGGTGATGTATTCATCTCACATTCTTCATTCTGTTTTGATGAACTTGTAAAGTCTGTAAAACTAGATTAAGGCCTCCTGTAGAGCATTGTGACTTTTAGTTTGAGGGTGTTCCCGAGAATCCTGGTGCATCGCATTTTTATTTAAACAGCTCTGCTGAGGTGCTTTTAGCTTTTCATGAGCCTGAAAAGAAGATCGACTGACTGAGCTCCCTCACGGAACTTTTTGTGTTTGCAGAGAGAGACATTCCCGATGAAGGGCAGAGCACTTTGGAGAGCTGAAAACATTTGTTGCAATCCGTCTCCATCTCAGACGTAATTAGCCTATTACAGATATTGATTAGTCATGTACCTGTTGAGATGGGTCAGCTCTTTTCAAGGACAAAAGACAACCAGTCTTCTCGCTCTTTTTAGGGATTTGCGAAAATAAGCGGAGACGAACTCTACAGCCTCACTTTTCAAACCCAGTTCTTATCTTTTCCTTTATATCTCCTTCCAGTACAAGCCCTGCTATCTCTGCTATGCATTTATGTCATCTTCTCCCCCGTCCGGCCTTTTTGCCTGCTTTGTTTTCTCTTCTTCATTCTCCTTGCGCACACCTCTCACCCCTCCCCCCCACCCTCTCCGTCTGCTGTCTTGCAGTGGCCCTGTACGCCATCAGTGCCGTGTACTTTGCGGGCGTGATGGTCCGGCTCATGCTGACGCTGACGCCGGTGGTGTGCATGCTGTCAGCCGTGGCTTTCTCCAGCGTCTTTGAACATTACATGGGAGACGACACGAAGAGGGAGAAGCCTCCCGCGGAAGACAGCAGCGACGAGGACGACAAAAGGAACTCTGGGAACCTCTATGACAAGGCAAGGCGGTGTGGAGAAGCTGTGGGGAAGGGAACCGATAGCCCCAAACAAGCCGTCGTGTCTAATATGGATAAGAGCCCAAAACAGTCAGGAGCGAGCCGAAACGTCTAGAGTTTTGTCACACACATTCGCATCACCTTTGTGGGGAGGATGGATTTGTCATTTACATATTTGTCAGCTTCCCTTATCACTCCAGAGCAGTTTGGGTAAACTGTGAGTCAGCAGCAACTGTTTGATGCTACTTCCATAATTTCAGCCATCTCTCTGAATTTTGCACTGTGCAAACATTAAAACCAGCTCCTGTAAATGAACTGGGTTTACTTGTAAAGAAAAAGACACCCTAATGAGCTTCAAAGTCAGTGTATTTTTCACAGCTTTTGCCACACGCACACTGTTTGGAAGCATTAAATGTGGCTGAGTGGAATCGTATAGTAGAGTTTTTACAGTGACGTCTCCATAAAGTCGCATCATAAACATTTTTCTTTATGAAGCAGCTCATCCCGTATTATCGAGCTGTCAGGGCTGTGGGGAGCTTCTGTTTACTGATCAATCTTTCCCCCGTATTACTCCAATGTGTCAGTAGTTGTTAGCTTCTTAATCTCAGTCTAAAGATGGTGTACCTCACAATAAGAGTGAACACCCACACACACACCACAGTGATGTATTATGACGGAGGCCTTAAAGTACATTTGTGGATTTTTTTTCCACATGAGTTCCATTCATTCCAGTTGTAACTAAAAGTGTTAAAATCTCTATTTCTGTTTTGCTGCTGCTAAAAAATATGAACTCCTCCCTGAGTTCATCACTCTGCTCCCGTCAGAGTGTCTTTATGCAGGGCAAAAAGTTGTGGATGCTGCAGAAGAATTTCCTCATTTGGTCCAATTAATAATTTATCCCATTCAATATTTCATAGTTCTGGAAAGCTTGACGGTGTTTTTCTGAGGTGTGAGTGGGTTTGTCTCCCCCTGCAGGCCGGCAAGGTGCGCAAGCACGTGTCGGAGCAGGAGAAAGCAGAGGAGGGCTTGGGTCCCAACATCAAGTCCATCGTGTCCATGCTCATGCTGATGCTGCTGATGATGTTTGCCGTCCACTGCACCTGGGTCACCAGCAACGCCTACTCCAGCCCCAGCGTGGTGCTGGCGTCCTACAACCACGACGGGTAAGGCAGCCGCACCCACGCCGGATAGGAACGATGGCCTCCTCCACCTCTCATGCAAATGGACACACATGCATTTGGAATGCGTGCAGAACTGGGAGCACGGGGCTCTGAGAGTGTGCACGCATGCATATTTCATAAGGCGACGGTAAATGTTGTGCGAGCCTCTAAGATCAGATCTGGTTGTTGAACACTGCGTCTCCAGGTTATGGAAAACATCTGTGAACCATCTTTGAATTTGTTACTAAGCTGATACGACGTTCTCTGTGAGACACTCTGTAAGCATAATTATTTTTTAAGAGTGCTGGGGAGAAAATATTGAAAGCTGAATGAGAAAGCCACAGGTTCTCATACATATATTTATCATATTAGTGCTCTTCTCACACGGTGGCTCCCTGGCTGTCAGTTTGCTGTTCTCTCTCTCATATGTGAACACATGCCCCCAGACACACCCACACTGTCATATGAACATCACGCAGAGGGTTTATTGGTTGGTCCTGCTTCCTTTCTAGGTAGATTTAATTCATTGCGCTTATCTGTTGTCGCCAATCTGATTCAAAGCCCAAACTTTGAAGGCTTCTGGACCCTCGCCAAACAACTTTGTGAGCCGTCCACTTTGTTTTCCTTGTCAGGACTCGTAACATCCTTGACGACTTCAGGGAGGCTTACTACTGGCTGAGACAGAACACAGACGAGCACGCCCGCGTGATGTCGTGGTGGGACTACGGGTACCAGATAGCCGGCATGGCCAACAGGACCACGCTGGTGGATAACAACACGTGGAACAACAGCCACATAGCTCTGGTAAGACCTCTTTGTGTCTGTCCCCTTGGGTTTTTCTGTGTTCATCTTTCTGCCGGCTCCGTGCCTGCACAGAGGAACGGCTGATTAGCACCAGCTTCAGCCGAATCCTTTATGCATTTGCCACATTGTAGAAAAACCACTCCCTCCAACGAGCCAGATAATCTCGTTTGCTTAAACTTTTCCCGTCGAGTTTTCACAGGGAGTTCAGTTAATTGCCGTCAGATTTCGTGGTTCGGATTCATCTCTTTTCCTCACTGCTGCTAAGTGTAGACAAACGTGTTTTTTTTTTTGGTAAGGCCTGTAAAAGGCCTCTAGCTTTTCTCCATCTGGCTTTCTACCTGCTGCAGAATCTCTCTACAGGAAATGTAATTACAGGGAATGCGTGATGGATTTGGGTTTGGTAATGCTGCCGCCTTCCACCCACGCCTTGAAGCCCCGCGTCTCCTGAGACGTGACAATTAGTCCACGTTGTCACCTGTCAACTCCGCTTTCCAGGTCGGGAAAGCCATGTCGTCCAATGAGAGCGCCGCCTACGAAATCATGAGGTCGCTGGATGTGGACTACGTGCTGATCATCTTTGGAGGCGTGATCGGCTACTCTGGCGACGACATCAACAAGTTCCTGTGGATGGTGAGGATCGCAGAGGGGGAGCACCCCAAAGACATCAGGGTGAGTGGGAGACGCCGATCGCACGCCATCGCAAAATGTGCCTTCTCACACATAATGAGGCACAAGGAGAAAAAAGAAAAGGAAAGAAAAGGCAGCTCAGACGATGTGACGCCAGTCATTTGTGAGACTGAGACAGCTTTTACCACCAAGAAGTCTCAATGTTAGAGCTGTCATCTGTGCTTTTAGCTGGAAATGATTCGGTGCCTGATTTAGGCCAATTTCACTGTTGCTGTCTGGCTCATTTATGTCCAAACAAAGGAGAAAAAACACAGTTTACTGTGAATTTATACAAGAGCAGGTTATAAATTGGATATTTTAGCATGCAGGAGCAGCAATTCTGCAGTCAAAGCTTCCCTCATGAAGTTTATAGTATTGCTTTTTTTGTATTTATTCCAAAAGACTGTTCTCAAAGCTTGTAGAATAAGCCACAAAAACATCTCTTCTTTCTCAAATAAACAACTGTTATTATTAGAAACGGCAGCCTGGTTTTGTGAACAAGGTAAATCTGGTGGAAAAACAGGTGAAAAAACATCGTTAACTTTTAATGACAATCAAAATGCTCAAATGAAGACTGTTATTTTGGATTTTTATAAAAATAAATAATAAAGAAAGAAATGTATTTTTATAAATGTATTTTTTACTTGTATATCCGGAGAAAACATTTATCTCAAATATTCCGGTGTTTCCATAGCTACTAGTTGATTTGCATGAACATATATTGTTATTTTGTGGATGTGATTGTTAATTATAGGACGTTTAAATGGGATTTTAAATTTTGAAAGCAGTAGTTTGAAACAGGTTTTTGGTTGATTTATCTTTAGGACCTGTGCGTCCTTGCAGGGTGACAGAAATGCTTTTGAATTACAGGGAAACATGGGAAACCTGAAGTGTGTGAGGTGTTTAGTTGTTGCCTTTAATATCTGCCCCTTCCTGTCCTTGTTCTCACCAAACCCGTCTGCCTTTGTTCTTCAGGAGAGCGACTACTTCACTCCTCAGGGGGAGTTCAGGGTTGACAAGGCCGGCTCACCAACTCTGCTCAACTGCCTCATGTACAAGATGTCCTATTATCGCTTCGGAGAAATGCAGGTGAGGGGGAAGCGCTCCGAGTAAACATCGTTTGTGGCCAGAGCTCAGATTTCTGGCAGGTCTTTGATAATTTTTCACTTTGGTGAGGACAGGCGTTTCATCTCTGCATCATGATCAGAAACCAGCAGACATCTGTCAAAGGAAAAAACCCAGCCACCGTGTTTTATTCAGTCTTTTTTTTATAGAATAACAAGCAGCTGCCAGCTCTAAAGGTGTAAGATTGCTGCTACACACAAACAGAAGGGGATTTGAAAGAGCAGATTTTAGAACAAGGCGTTGGGATTGGAAGAGAGACTGATGAGAGGAACGCGTGAAGGGCCAGCTTTTTAAATGTGCCACGGCTTACCGTGGCAGGCAGCGAGCAGTCGTGTAAGAGGCTCAAAGCCCCGCAGTAGATGCTGCTCAGCCCTCCTGAGTCAAAGCAGCCCGGCACCGGCCGAGGCCAGGATGCAGAGGGACCAGATCAGATTGACAGAAATAAGATGACACCGGGGGAAACTGAGACTGAAGAGGACATCAGGAGGAAGGCGATAAGCCTGAGCCGAACCACGTGATCGTAGAGAAAGCAGTTTGTAGGCGTTTATCAAGATTAAACCTTAATACTCAGTTTGTGACTTTATTTTAAATGCGGTGCCAAGAGGGAGAAAATGATGGACTGAAATGTGAAGGGAAAAATTCTGTTTGTGGAATTTGAAAAGGAGGAGACAGCTGTGAGAAAAGCTGAGAAACATGTGAAGGACAAACGGCCAAAGACTTTAAGAGCAGAACCAAAGACTCCAGAGGTTTGCAAGTGGCTCAGACGGTGCCGGGGAATGTGGGGGGATGCTATCAGAGTGCGGTCAAACAGACTGTTTGTCTTTTCTTATTGAGTTTTTCCTCATTTAGCTTTAATCCGTTAAGCTTTAACCTTTAAAGTGCTGTAACAGCTTTGGGCTGAGACAGTAATGTTGTTTTTTTTTTATCTTTCCCATCAAACCTTTTGCGTTTTTGTCTGTTTTATCTGAAGGGAATCGTTTTATTAAAACGCTTAATTTAAACTCTTTCTCTCCAGAAATAATAAGACGAGCGTTTCAGCATCTCTAATTTCCATTTTCTGTTTTTGATATTTGTTCAAATGAAAGGCTGAGGAGCTGAGCTGTCTCTGGTGTTCCCTGTTCTTTTTCATACTTCTCCCTGTGGTGTTTGTGAATAAGATTCAAACCATTGCACTGAACCCGACTCGCAGTCAGTCAAATGACCCCCCCTCTCCTCTCTCCCAGCTGGACTTCAGAACGCCGCCCGGCTTCGACCGCACACGCAACGCAGAGATTGGCAACAAGGACATTAAGTTCAAGCACCTGGAGGAGGCCTTCACCTCGGAGCACTGGCTGGTCAGGATCTACAAGGTGAAGGAGCTGGACAACAGAGAGCCGCTGGACCACAAGCTGCGCAGCGTGGCTCCCAAGCAGAAGTACACCTCCAAAAAGGTAGCGGGAAAGGAAGGAAGGAAGGCTCTGCTGTACTATAACATGCATTTCTGACATTTGGATTTTTTTATCTACCCATTTATCTAGATTGTGTGTAATTCCTAAAAAACAAATTGTGCGTCTAAAGTCGCTGCTGTTCTGTTTGACTCGTCCGTTTCAGCACTGGACAGATTTTTTTTTCTGTGTCTCTGAGCAGACTGCCAAGAGGAAGCGAGGGCACATCAAGAACAAGCTCGTCCTCAAGAAGGGCAAGAAGCTCCAAAAAAAATAACGGCGATGAACTCGAACAGATGCGAAGAAACCTCCAGCAACCAACAAAGAAGAACAGAGGGGGCGGTTGCCATGCACTTGGTCTTGAGCGCTTGTCGTTGGAGCGCCCTCATGTGTTGAGGAAGTGTCATATCTGGCTCGCACCAGAATTCTTGTCTGTTTTACCCCGAGGGCATCAGTCTTGCTTTTTTTTTTTCTTCTGATTTTTTTTGTTTTGTTTGGTTTTTTTTGTTTTTTTTACTTTGTACTTGAATGTGTGGCGAGGCATAGGGCTGCTTTACTTGGTTCAGCGTTGATTTCATTTTTGTGGTGTGTTAATTAACTGCTTATCAGTCCAGTTATCAGGTGAAGGGGATACGAGGGACGACGGGGAACATTTGCACCAAAGACCCATCAACCTTGCTCCATGGCACATGTGAACTCTTTGCTGAGGGTGAGGAAGAGTAGGAGTGAAAGCTGAGGACTTTGTTCCTGACACGTGTACAGAGGACGGTATGCGGTATGGAGGAACGTCACCGTCTTCACACATCTTTAATGTTAACCTTTTTATCATCATCATCATCATCTCCTTTGTGTCTGCCTGGCTCCCTTACCCTTCTTTTCCAAAAGATTCTATAAGACAGAAATTGGCCTAATTTGTAAATATATTCTGTAAAGAAAATCTCTAAAATGATGGTAATATATTGGATCATTGTAGTGACTTTTAAATATGCAGTTCTTGATTTTGTTTTTGCGATTCTTTAGGGTTTCTTTTTGTTTTGGTTTGTTTGTTTTTGAATGACAGCAAATAGAACACTGAATGCAATAATTCTACAGATAGGTTTGCGGTTTTGTTGGAAGAATGAATGTGAATTTTTACACCCCACTTTTTTTCCCCCACAGATTGCATAGATTGTACATTTCTGCTGCTAGGGTTTGACGACAGAAGCAGGCAACTGTGTGTAAAAAGTAGTGATAATAAATTAGGCCTCCCCTCCTGCAGAGGGAGCTCTGTAGTTTAAGCGAGCGAAGCCTAGTGCCTCCTCATCATCACCTGATTCTCACCTTGTGGCTGTTGGCGCCGTTGGTTTTCTTTGGTCATCGCACATCCCTCGCAGGTCGTCTCCCTCATTCAGGCTACCCGAAATGTTTCAAAATATCTGGTGATAAACAGAACTGTGATGGGGGTGGGGTGGGGGCTCTGACCAACACAAGATTCTCAAGTTGTCAAGAGCTGTGTCCCAATTATTTACTACAGCGTGCGCTTCAAAAACAGCCTTTTTTTTGTTTGGTTTGTTTTTTACAGCTTAGTTAGCTGTTAGCTTTGTTAGCCTATGTTCTTGCAATTAACACTTAATTAATATCTGCGTTAAATGTCCAACTTTACAGTACAGATTAAAGTGTACTTTAAAGTTTATGCCCCCCCCCCCCCTTTAATTATTCAGCTTATCTGCTTAGAAACAGGAAGAGGGTACATTTATAAAGATTTGGACTATGTGTTTTAAAAATCAGCGGCAAAATATTTAAAACATTTTTTAAAAATATTCTGATTATCAAACAATGCTTTCAGCTGCAAAATAGTTTAACATATCATGAACTGGAAAAAATAGTAATTTGTCTACTTAAAATATGAGAAAAGCCAAATGGCGTTTTCCGGTTTCTTCTGAAATAAATAGAGTAGGAACTGTAGAGGAGAACTGAGCACAGCTGCCCTCATGTCAACTTCTTTTCCCTCGTTGCCGGGATGTTGGTCGAGAGAACTTAAATCTTGCATCTTTGAGGCCTCATACCTGTTTTCTGTCAGGCCCCACTGACATCCTATCATTGAGAGCAGAGGAGGAAACATTTACAGTTAACATTTCATTACTTCAATTGGTACTGTTTAGTTTGAATCTATTCGTTTTCTTTTTGGTGCTGTGGTTTTTTCCTTTAAGTCTTTTCTCTCTTTCTTTGGCTCTTTCCATCCTTCATACACAGTCTTAAAGAAAGAGAGAAAGTGATAAATGTGAATATCTTGTCAGCACAAGTGGAACTTTGGAAAATTTTTCTTTAATTTGCATGTTCACTTCTGATTAGATTTTTTTTTTTTTACATTATAGAAATGAAAGATATTCTAAAATATCAATATATTTTCAAATTCAAGGGGTTGGCCAACATCATTTTCTGTTCTTGGAAGTCATTGGATTTCCAAATTAAATTTTTTGAAGAAAAAAATTACAATAAAGCAGAAACACACAAAATATCCAGATTTTTTTCTCCATTGTACAAGTTTTGGCTTTTGGAAATGCGTTTAAATGCATTTCCATTCTATACTTGTCTTTTCTCATGAAACCGTCCGTGTCAGGGTCCCACTGTGAGGTGAACACCCGCTTCATTATGCACCATTCATGTCTGAAACCGGCCGTTTGGTGATTTAATGAACTTTCAGTTCAGACTGTACAGCTATGTTTAGTGTCTTTTATTCATTCTTAATGTTAGAAATAAAATGGTAAAGAAAAAAAAAAGTGTCAAATTAACACCACAGCTGCTGTGTTGGCAACCCTTTTGCTGTTGAACGCACGGGTGAAAACCGGAATTTAGCTGATTTATTACATTTAAAGTGACAGAAAACCAACCAACATTACTTTTCTTTTTGGCGTTTTATCGACTTAATAAATGGATGATTTCTGATGAACCAGTATATATTTTTTTTCTCTGTTCTGATTTCAGCTGGCCTTTGCCACAGGGAGTTGGGACACAGCTCTGCCTCGGTCATTTTACAGGCACTGTAACGTTCTCACGTCGAAAAACCTAAAGGAGATTCTGTTTGTGCACACTTTGGTAACTTTTGTTTTCTATCAAACAAAAGACTAACACATCATTCTGCTTAGTTTCTTACATAAGGTAACTTTATTAGTATCAAATGCTTGTTTTTCTTCTGTCTGACTCTTTGTTCACTCTTTTATCTTTTCTTTTCCATCACCATTTGAGGCTTCAGACCTCCGGCACCTTGCCGCATATGTGTCCTTTGAGTTCTCATTTGTCCAGAGAGGACGGAGTTCAGACTAAGCCTTAATGTGATGTACAGTTTGTTGCCCTGCTACCTTTCTTTCTCCCACCATGTGCTGATCTTTTTATTGAGCGACAGAGGAGTTGCGTGGCCTGCTGAGTCTCAGCAGCTCAGCATGACGTGTCCTGAACACTGTTTTTCTTTGATGCAGTCTCCCCACTTATCCCTGCTCACCTTCAAAGTTTACATTTTTACAATGTTGTTCTGTTCAGCCATCTTTAAATATACTCTTCAGTGAAAACATTGGCGTAGTTTCTCTTTATTGAGCTTCATTTATATCTGTTTCCTCTGCAGATCTGGTGCCTTTTTTTCCCCAGGTGAGTGCAAACTGAACCACTTGGTGGCAGCATTAGCACTGGGCTTATGCTCTGCATGAGGATGGTGACTTTGCTGGGTGCTCACTGGGTGAAGTCTGTAATTTATGGTATGAAAAATGGCGTTATTTCAACAGATATCCACTTCCTGTTTACTGTGAGCTTTAGAAACATCTGACAATTTCTCCCTTCATAACAATTTTTATCAGGAAAGTATCCAGAATACACAAAGCTATGAAAAAGAGAATATTTGGACAGAAAATTGTGGAAAATTATTCAACTAGGGCAGTTTGAGAGATATTATAGATTCATAAAAATATTTATCTTTTTTTTTTTTTTTAAATAACCATAACGGGAAACATTGCAAAGTTGAAATGTTCTATCTGTAGCTTTACAGTGCTGCTCATCAGTGGGTGAATGCTTCTGACAAAGCTAGAAGAAAGGACGCCTTGTCTAATTCACTGAGCTCCCCATTTAACGAGGTCATTCAGGCTCAGATTGTGTGGACTACCTAACGTCAGGCTTCTCTGTTCTTTAAAGCTGAGGCGGTGAGTTCCCTCCACCAGATCTCATAACAGTGCTCCGTCCTGCTGAGGGACTTTGGGTCCTGGCTCTGGTGTTGTTGTTTAATCATGAACAACTCTTAGAACCCGGAGGAGTGGACCTGATCGTTGGATGTCAGCAGATTCCAGTGGAAGGTGCTGTGAAAGTCCTCCTGCACACCCAGCAGAAGGCCCAGGGGTGAGAACTGCTAGTGGAGGACTTAATGTGGCCGTTAATGGAAAAACGCTCAGCAGTTTGACAGCTGAAGCATTAGCTTATCTCTGGTTGAACAGCAACACTCCCCAAACATTCAGTGTTTTACGGGAAAGCTAATCAACAGCGTGGCTTAAGGCAGCCCCCGTTTCTGTAGAAATGTGAGGAAAACCGGACTGAAAAACAGCTTATACAGTTCTGAGTAGCTTGACTTTTTCCGCGTCTTTAGTGCTTAGCAATATTTTGTCCAGACTTCTGTTCTGTTAGCTGCCTTTTGTTCTGCTTCAGTACTGCTTCAGAGCATTTCTGATAAGGCTTCTCTCAGCTCTTTACCTGAATCTCATTCTTCAGGACAACACTTTCAGACACTGTTTTTTCACAAAGGTTAGATAAGTACAAGTAAAACAGAAAGAAATGAGGGGTGTCGAAACAAGATCAGTTCTTTCTAATAAGTAAATGCAGATAATCAAAGGAAATGATTAAAAACAGTAGAAGGTCTTTATTAATGTTCAGGTCCATGTATGTCTGTGGTGTTAGTTTCCTGTAAGGCCAGCAGCGCACAGATTTCAAACAGGATTCTGTACTTCAGATGTAATACGGTTCACTTCAAGGAAGCTAGGACTTTATGCAACAAATTGGGTCTTTAGTTTATCATGTCATCGTTTGGCTGATCTATGTCATCGTTCCTCAGACAGTCCTAAGAAAACCTGAGGGGAGTGGGCTGCCTAATCGCGTGTAAAAGGGGAGTGGGGGAACTTTTAGAAGAAATCCTGGCTGAATGAGAGGTAGAAATGGACATCAGTTTGGCAGGTGTTTCCCTTCAGAGTGAACTATCGGAGCCACATGACAAAACTAGAAAGGAGGGACAACACAACAAGCACGTGAAGTAGCACACAGTACAAGTCGGAAGTATTCAAATGTGCCTGGATACATTCAAAGTGCAAACAAAACAATCACAATTTTCTGAGTAGCTTGCGGTAATATACTGTGTAATAATATATACTAATACATCATTTAATGTACTACATTTGTTTTCGATTCTCTGGTTCGGTGACTTTATTTCCCGTAAAGCTCTGAGAGATCACTTGGGCTGATAAAAGCCCCAGAGTATAAAATAATTGATTTATCTCTATGATAAAAGTGCTTTATAAACAGACTCATTTACAGCTACAGTATGGTGTGTTACAGGAGACTGGATCTTTTCGGAAGCTTGGAGCCAAACATGGATGACGTATAAGAAAACGCTGCCCGGTAGAACTAGTCGTCACCGCGTGAGCAAAAGAAGGCTTGAGCAAAAGTGAAAAATAGAAATATTCTACTTTGACCGATAATACTATAAAAAATGTACGTCAGCCCCAAAGCCTTGGTTAAAACAGTGGAGATCCCTTTGGCACCTTGCTTCCTTCTTCTGCGTCACTCTGTGACTGAAGGTCTGTGGAGGATGCATCTTTCAGAGTAGAACCGCCCGCCCGGTTACTGTCCATGAGGGGGGGGGGGGTTCTGATGTCAGGTGGACTTCCACAGCGCGCTGTTGTAGATCCAGCCGTCGCCCTGCACATGTAGTCAACCAGAGAGGGACTTTTTAGTCTTTTTTTGTTATGAGCACGTCAGTCATTGGAAATGAAAGACTGTAATAATTCCCTCACACAATGACCAGCACATTTCTATTATACCACAGCCTCAGGAGGTGGAAGACCGGAACTGTGGAGGATGTCCAGTTTTGCTCTAGTAGCTTCTTTTATTTAACAATCTTTCTTACCGGCTAAAGTTAGAATTCATGTATACCCTTTTTGGTTCAGGACTTACTTTTGTGAGCTCCTGAAACTGTTAAAAGAGTTTAGTTTGTTTCAAATATCACCTTTTTTGCTTTAAAATGTAAAGATATCTAATGAGAAATTAAGGATATTTTCAGAATTTGTACACACAAATCTGTCAGATAAAATGCAAATTGAAATGGCAAAGGCTGCATTTTTCAAACTTTAGATGAGCAAACTAAAATCTATTAATAATTCCAAGTTGTTTTTCCTTCATTTAACAGTTCTCCTTCAGGACAGAAAACAAGCAGTTACCTCTTTAGTGAAATATTTTGGTTTCCAGGGTTTGTTATCAGCTGCTCTCTGCCTCTCCTCCGCCCTCTGGCACTCCTCCAGCCTGTGTTTGTGCTCTGTGGCCTTGTCCATGTTTCCTTCCTTCAGCGACTTGGTGACATGTTGCCACAGCCGTCTACAAGCCCAAGAAAAAAAAAAAAAACACAGTTACACAGACAAACTTTTCCGTCCCCCGCCTGTTATGACTGGAGCCTGTGCTCGCCTGGACTCGGTCCTGCCCTGCCTCTCCACCGGGCGCAGCTTCTTCCTGGTGACGGGAAGTTTGGCCGTGTCCATCACTTTGGTTTCCCCGCTGCTGTAGGTGAACTCCAGCGTGCCGTTCCACTCCCCCTGCGCTTTGCATACGATCGTGTTGGTCGAGTTGTGTTTGACCTCGGCGGTAACTCTGATTTAAAATAGATCAAATAAAAAAATTAGACCTGTGTGTCACAGGATGCCTCTCCACTCATGTAAGTCACTGTTGTTGCTTTTAGGATCTACGTTTTGTATAGAATACAATAACTCAGCATCACTATTTCACTAATTCTAATCTGTCAACAGGGTGCTGGAGTGTTTAACTTCAATTCCGTTCATTGATAGAAGCGAATGCTTGTATCTGAAACACCAGTGACATCTTTAAGGTTCAAACTCAAACCCCGCACTAAAGAGACTAAATCAGTTACATGTCAAAGTCAATGCATTCCTTGTACTGATCTGTAAAAGATGTGAAATTAAAGCTGAAGGATTGTCCTGAAGTTTTCTCCAGCATCTTTGTGCTCTGTAATAGGCTTTCCAGAACCTAATAAATGAATACAGGTGGATGTTCAGTGATTAAAGATTTAGCAAACTTTGTAAGGATAGTGCAATGTTCTGACCCAGAGCCTTCAGGAAAGAGCAGTTTTAAAATAAATATTCCCGTGCATTGATCTTTTTGACAGCAAAATCTTGTGGCCACAATGGAAGCAGGCGAATGTGAAAGCTGTACTGCTTTCTTCAAGAAACCTAGACATTAATTCTATGGCACTTTTCATTCATACTCAGATAAAAAGATGGCTTTTGTGGTAGTTAAATGGCTCCGTTTTACACATTTAACCATGAGAATGATCATAAATTGGTGCATAGTCTGTATGTACATGATATACAAAGCAGTTTGGAATATTTGTATGTGTTAATGTTCAAGTCAAAGTGCAGTTTGTGTATTATAGCCCTTAAAATCAACTGAAAAATAAGTGCATGTAGAATTTTGAAAAAGATCTAAAGGTCAAAAATGGCTCCTTCACAACAATGTAAAATGGAATATTTAAAAAGTCAAATCCAGACAGTCTCACAAAGGGATGATCTTCTTCAGTCATGATTTATGAATGAAGAGGGCGATAAGAAGCGGTCTGTAAAGCCTCTTTCACAGACCCATTTCTAAAGAGCCACAGTCACACAGAAGAGGCGCGCTCACCTGTGCACCTTCCCTCCGTAGAAAGGCTTTGTATGAAAGGTCACCGTGGCTGAGTAGCCGCTTTTGACGCAGTTAATGGAGACTTTGCCCCCCAGCTCCACCCAGGGCACGGTGAGGATGGAGCGGGCGTAGGCACAGGGCAGAGTGAAGACATACTCCTCATCATGCTCCAGGAGACACAGGACTCCTGAGAAATGGAAAAATGGTCTGAGAGGTTCAATGCACAACTGGAGAGAGGTTTAAAAAAAACATGTTACCTGGATAGGAGGGGAAAATGCTTTAACTCCTATATTCCAATCTTTACTTTGTTTTAAATAAGAAAAACTAAATTGTATGTTGGGTCTCTTCTTTTTTTGGCCACTGCAGACTAAGCACAGTCTGGGGGGGGGGGGTCATCTTTTAAGCACATGTGACTCGGTCAAAAACAAAACCTCTCTGCCTCAGGAGTCGTTTCCAGGTCTTAGACCACAACCACGTGTTTACCAGAGAGCACATGTGCAGCTGTATCTCACAGTAGAATAGCTGCAGGGGGAAAAGTGCGCGTGGTACCACTGTGGGCAGAAAATGAGAACTGAGGGTGGACATGTGAGAGGGAAAACTTTTTAGCCTGGAGCTGTGAACAGCTCTGAGCTGTGTGATTAAAAGCAAAGCTGAAAGAGCTTCGAGTAGAACATTGAATGGATGACGATGTAAGATCAGACGGAGTGGAATTATTCAGAACTTGGGGAAGTTTAAGTCTCCTTGGATATTATTCCCGTCCAGTCAGGAACTGAAAACATAAGAGGGCAGGCTTACGTAATTCTGTCATATTAGAAGAAAAGAAATGGTTTTGACTATTTCTGGACATTGGCAGTTCACTCATTGTCTCTTTTTAATCATATCTACATGTTTAACGTTTCAGCCCAATGTCCGGCACACCAGGCCGGATCAAGCTGCTCCCAGACCGCGTCTGCTGCCCACTCCCTGTCTGACCATTTCACAAATATACAGAATCAGCTGCGGCTGCGAGACGGGGAACCGAAATCCAGCCATCAATGCACCCCCGGAGGGGAATGTCAGCGTGTTCTGCTGTGGAGAGACATGGAGAGACACCACCACGAAGAGCTGCGTCACAACCTGAGAACAGACGGTCGCAGGTCTGACTGAATCGGGTCACAGTTAGTTCACACTCAAGACCCTCCTGAACCTCTGCCCAGGGGAAAACATCTCAGACGGTGGCGCAGGCAGGGTTAGATTATCGACATGTTACCAAAGAGGCCTGAAAGGTTTTTTCTACACAGGACATGTTAATGATATTTTAAACTGGAAAACATTTGATGTGTTGCAGCGCTTTCTTTTTATAGCATGAAACACTGATATAAAAGGATCTAACAGCATACATAAAGCTGATATTTTCTTTCTACTGAAGATTATTTTGTTACTGTTTTTTTTTATAATGAACTAACTGAACGATCCAACAGCGCTGTCATAACCAGGCCTGCATAAATGCTGCTAAAAGAAAAGAATCATTTAGAAATGGTTCAAGTAAGAGAACAGATGCAAGTTTGATGCCTGAAACACAAACTCCAAAAAAGTTCAATATAAAAGTGCAACCAAAGACTGGTTGTGTAATGCTAAAAACAGCTGGTGGAACATCTGCCTACTAATCAGGTTAATTAACAGCTGAGTATCTTGATGGGGTGTGAAGAGAACATCCCAGAAAGTCATGCAAAGGGATGGCAGCTGGACTCATCTGGAGGCTGTTTATCAGCCGTCATGTGGGACGCAGCGGTCACATGACTCCAGACGGTTCCTGCACCAAAATGGCCTCTGTCCTAAACTTTAGTTGCTGCTGCTTTGCTTTAGTTGCTTTAGCTGCTGCGTCTTTGGCAGGAGATGGACAGACGCCTCGGCCACAGCTGACCCACAGCAGTAGAAATGTGGAGTCATCACAACTTTGTTGTCTGTTGTTGCCCCATCAAAATATTCTGTTCTGATTTAAAATGAGCACACATTTAAGTAAATAAATTTTAAAAAATCTCAGTTTCAAAAATTGTTCCGTTGCCTCAAAAGTATTTAAAAGTGCAGGCATCTAAAAAAAACAAAAACCCTCCTTATATTCTACAATATTTCAGGACAAAATATATAAATAGAAACCTTATCAGTTCCGAAAAATGAAGTAAAAACAACCTAAACTAAAGAGCATTTCAAGAGATACTAATGACTTATCGTGTCTTAGTTATTACAGACTGAGTGGACTAACTGCCTCAGAGATTAAGAGGCAGTTACAGGTTAAAAAAAACTGTCAGTACCTCTTTGCAGAAAGAAGTTTATTCAGTTTGCTTGTCTGAAACATTTATAAATGCGTTAACACATGGCCATGGAGGACCATCGTTAGCAATAATCTAAGAGAAGTTTCCCTCCATCGATATGGGAAGGCTTTTAAGAGCGTTCTACTGAAAGAGAGCTCTCCCAGGAGTCAACCTCCCAGCAAATCCATCCGAGGTCAGATGGTGCAGAGATCAATGAGTCTGCAGAGAAACATTTAAAAGCTACATCTCAGACTCTACAGACCACAGTTATTGTGTTAAGTGTTCACCTTCATGACTGTGTGGGAAAAAAGCCTCTGTAAGGTTTGTTTGTAGGGGTTGCAGAAGAAGCATTTTCAATCTAAAAATAAAAAAACTAATGAAAAAAACAAAGGAAACTATGGCGATTTGGCTGGAGGAGTTGTTTGGCCATTAAGCACAGATTAACTCAACCACCCTGTACCAGCTAAAGTTCAGTTGAGACCGGGTCATTTATAGGACAAGGATCCAAAATCCAAGTCAGAATGACTGAAAAGAAACATTAAATATCTATATATATGCGCAGACTCACCTTCTCCCACCATGGAGACTCCGATGGACATGCCCATGAACTTGCTTTTGGTCCACACGTGGGCGTTGACGCACATCCTCTTCTCTCGACACTCGCAGTAGAAACCCGACACGGGGGGGTGGTGGGACACCTGCTCTGCCACGAAGCGGACCCGGTAGCAGCCCCCCGGCGAGTCCTCGCCCTGCGGCGCGCTGTTGGGCGCCCTGCCCGCCTCCCAGCCCGGCCCCTGGTTGGACCTGACCAGAGGTCTGACTTTGTCCCAAGGCACTTCCCAGGAGCAGTGGAAGGTCTCCCCCAGCACGGGGTTGTAGGGCTTCTTGGCCACGGCTCCTTTCCTGCCCTCGTGGAACGCGGTCAGATAGTACTCCACAAAGCGGACGATCCGGTCCTCGGCCGTGGCGCCGCTGGTGATGGACAGGAACATGTCGGGGTGGGCCATGAAGTTGGCGTACATCTCCAGGAGGGACCGCTTTTCCAAAATGAACGTTGGCAACACCACCTAGGGAAGAAAATACAAAAAAAATAAACAACCTAAGCCCACCGCGGCTCTCCTGTGAGGCGGATGTTGGGAGGCAGTACCCGGGTGAGGTCCATGCCCAGTTTGAGCTGAGAGAGCAGGTGGAGGATGATGCTCCGCTGGTCATCCAGGACGCCCAGGTCCTCCTCCTCATTGTCCTCCGTGTCCGTCACCTCCTCAGTGGGGCTGATGTCTTCCAGCCCTGAGTGCTGCTGGGAATGAAATCAAAATCAAGCAAAACCATTACGGATGCATATGAGAAGGACAGTGGCAGAAGGTAAGGTGAACATTGTCAGCAAGCTAAAATTGGACTTCATGCATTGTTCGAAAGTTGAATTTCAAGTAAACACAAAGCCTTTCTCGCATGAAAGAAATGTCATCTTTAACACACTGAAGGAAAATGTATGTAACGAATGAATATGGCACATAGGTAGTGGGAGTTCACATGGGAGGTCAATGGTGCAAAGCATCCCCACGTTAGAACTTACTAGAGCAAGATTGACTTGTTTTAAGGATTTTTTATGTTATATTGGAATGTTCCGACAAATTCGCAGCTTGTCTTTTAAACAAGGGAATTAAAAAACCTTCAAGGTAATTCTGTTTATCTGCAGCCAGAGGCGTCCTGCTTTCAGGGAAGGCCCGGAGGGAATTTCGTCACATCTGGCACAAATGTTCACTGTGACCTCACAAAACTGTTTGGGACTATGACTCATGCATGCATCCATACATTATTTATAGCACAACTTTACACAGATGTGTCGAGGAAAAGGAAGTTTAGGGATTCAGTTTAGCATTAAAGTAATCGCCCTCCGTTTGTTGGAACATTCTGAACATCATAAAAACATCTACCTCCAAATTAAACTTAACTCTAATGAAAGAAAGGATCAAATACAGGCTTCTTCAGATAGTCTGTTGTATCGGGGCTCTGACAGTGCTGAATACACAACTACCACAGACACAATGCAGCTCACTAACATCTTAACCTTGAATTGGTCATGAATAAAATCAAATCATTTTTAGTTGTCAGTTGAAATAAGATCATATAGCTACAACAGAGGTAAGAACAGAAATATCCTATTAATACCTGTAATGAAACATCCACACCAAAAACGACAGTTATTTGATTACTTTAACTGAAGCCCTCTTTTAAGAAATTCACTTCACAACAGAAGTGCATGATTCCCATTTTAAAGAGATTTTAAGACACAACACAAAAAAAAACAAATGTTTTTCCACATTTTTTTCCAATGGAAAAAAAAAAATCTGTTGAAAGGTTTGTAGAGTAAAAATGAACAATTAAGCTAATGAAGTGACCGGGAGGTGCCACTCTTTGTGTATGTAGCTTTTTGTAAATGGCCTTTTTACAAGATTGACATAATATGTTCTTAACTTTTTTATGGAAATTGTTTTTAGTTTTTAAATCACATACTTGGCAGAGAATCCTCTGGCATGCCAACAGCTCATGCAGGAAGCAGTTGGCCATTTTAAGTAAAAGGATCTGATTGTAGTGAAAGTGTTTAACTGATCACTGCAACATCTCTGCAGAAGGACATGCACTTCAGTTTTGATTTGAGCGTCTGGAGTGCTTTTGTTTGCTTCTGAACGCCGTGAGCGTTGTCCTTCACAATGCCTGCCTTGTTAAAAGCTGACAGAAGTAGCGCGCCTCGTTTAGGTTCCATCCCTCTGCTGGAAACCGTTGGGGCGAGGTTGCAGAAGAGCTGATGCTTCTGATATCTACTGCTGCAATTCAGGGCAGGAAGGAAGAAAGGGGGAAAGCAGGAGGCTGATGTATAATGCAAAAAGTGCTCTTGAGCGTGTGGGCAACAACTCACCCTCCGCTTCTGTCTTGTGACAATTCAAGATAAATACATGTCCTATTAACAACCTGTGCACAGATTCAGTTTGTGGGAAAAAAACAGCTAGAAAAGGAGCAGGGGATGCTGAGGGGAAATCCCACCTGAAACTCCCTGCTGCATAACTGCGTGTGCAGGCAGGAACAGAAGAAAAAGATTTCCAGGACCAGAGCGTCTGCCTGTCACCTGAATATTTTATTCCACGCATGCATGCCAGCAGCCCCACAAGCTCCACTCCAACACACACACGCCCTGCACCAAAACATCATGTACAAAAGACACAAGCACACATGGGACGCAGCACGCTCCAACACACATGTGTGCAGGAGTCCCTGGAGGAGGGCGTTATATATAGAAAATGTAAGCGAACAGAAAAAGTGGGAGGTGGGGGAGGTATATTATGACTTCAGTGGCTCTAACTAATTAAAGAGGCTCCTGACAGGAACAGGAAATTACTGCTGAAGAGATCAGGGCATCTCTGCGGAAAAGCCTTGAGTGGATCTGATGTCAGGCTCGGAGGCTGGCGCTAGCTGAGGGAGATTAGAACACAACTTTAACACTGTTCGGATGCAAGGCTTAACAACGCTCTGGCATCATTCTCACTGAAATAACACACACGCACTCACACATTAGCACTTTTAATCATCTTCCTTGCCAGATTCTAGCATGAATTATGACTTTCAGATAGCTAATGCTAACCCAATTATTATCTTAATAAAGTGTGCAGTAGGACAAAGACTGAGGGGTTTTTTCGGGGTAACTGTGAAACTCAAAATTAATTGTTTTAGAAACACACTCTACCTCTGTTACAGAGGCGTGAATATCACATTGCTCTGCCTCTTTATGAATATCAAGTATAAATATGAATAAAGAAATGAAAACGTCATAAATGTCCAATTTTGACGGATTTAAATGAGACTGTCAGCCATTAAAGAGCACAACTTTCAGTTCTTCCATGTAAAAAAAAAAACCCTAAGCAGGCGTCTAAAACTTGGCCAATCAGAAGTCAGGTTGGGTTTTCAGAAGTGGCCTTAAAGAAACAAGAACTGAAGGGCAGCCTCTGACCACAGAATAACGCATGTGCTGCACACAAGACAAAATGACTTTTTCCAAACAGTGAATAGTGCTATGGAATTTAACCCTTTTTCATTTTAGATATGATATCATTTTGGTCATCATTTGGTCATCCAAATCAAAAGTTAATACTGGCTAAAACTTCCAAATAAAACAGGCGTAACAAAGCCCCTCAGTCAGGTAGAGAACTTGTTCACAAATACAGAACAACCAACTGGAAAGGAGCCATCAGAATGGATTTCCTTTAGATATCGTGTTACTAAGAGTAAGAAGAAGGGTGGTATTCCTCCGTTTTCCTAGTCTCAGAAGAAATTAAGCCCACTGCGCTTTTTACAGATGTTCACAGTGTTTACCACTACAACAAGTCCCGCTGGCTACTTTGTTCCATAATTTATGAACTCAACATCAAGGCTCAGTGTTGGACAAAAAAACATTCCCCCCTTCTCAGATCGGTAATGTTTGCTGCTAAATTACATGCTGTGTAACTCCTTTAGGCTACATCCACCCCGTCTAAAGTAGATGTAAAAAAAAAAAACTGAAGAGAAAAACAACAACACAGCAGGAGGCATGCTGGTCACTCACGCTGCTCTGCTGGGGGGCCACAGGCTTGACCTGCATGAAACTCGATCTCATCTCCAAAAAGGGACAAAGTAGTGTCGTGGCCTCGGCCGAACAATTCAAACTGTAAAAATCCAGGGGGAAAAAAAGAGGGAAGTGTTCCCCAAACAGGGCAGCTGCTTCAGCCCGGGTAAAATCCTCCTCAAAAAGGTGGAAAGCCTGTCTAAATCGCAGTTTTTTTCAGGAGTTCAAAGCTCTGGTGGGTACGTAATACGCTCTTCTTCATCAGAATCTTAAAGCAGTCCTGGGTGTTTTGATGAAGGTGGTGAGCTGCTGTGTGTGACGAGCCCGGCTCCTCTCTGCTCACCACCCTCTCTGAGAAGCAGGGAGGAGGGAAGAGGAAGCGGAGGGAAAGTCCCTGTGACGTCTGCCTCTGTGCCCTCCCAGCATCCATCTGCTGAGTCTCCCTCCTGCTTCTGGAAAACCTTTTTACATCGAGGCAGTGGCGTGGGCCTCAGCCTGTTTAGATACATTTACCCAGATAAGAGGAGGGCTTTTTGCCTCATTTTCTACCGTTTTTCCCTCTTTGAGCTAAAGCCTTTCTCTCAGTCAGCATCCTACTTCGCCTTGACATCACTTCCTTCAAACTGATTTCAGTTTTCTGTCAGATTCAGATTGATTCTTCCTCTGCTTTTGCCTCGTCATCCCTGCCCCTCGTCTTCTCATTCATGCCATCTGCTATTCTGTCGTGTCGTCATCTCTTTAAGACCCCGGCCTCCAGGGGCCCGTGAAGGGACCAGGTGGATGAAATCTTTTCATGTTTCTACTTCAAAGACTCTTATTGAGCGTTTTAACCAGCTTCAGCAGCTGTCCTCTTCCCTCTCAGCCATAATGAACATCTTTACTCATTTCTCTGTGAAAACATGCTAATCCAGGGAGGTAGCTGTAGGTGTGTAAGACTGGAAACTGCCCTCGGTTCTGTCCTCAGACCCCAAACTGGTTCCGGTTAGATTATTAGTTAGAGTTTCTTCTCCAGAGTTTCTACTCACTCTGTATAAAGAGAATAGCACAAGATCATATGATTGATAAAGAATAAAGACAAAAAATATTTTTTTCAGGAAGTCAATTCACAAAGATACTTTGATTTTAATTTGTTTAATTGTATTCACTTTTGCATATTTCTATGTTTAAATAAACATGGGTGTTTTTAACTGCATTTTTCAGGGTGACATTTATTTCACTTCATCCCTTAGTCCAATCGGCTTTTCAAAAGCTTTTTATTGCATTATTACTCTGCGCTCTTTGCTTTTGCAGAAGTTGTTCGTAGCCATTTATTCATCTTAGCGAATCAGATTTAAGGCCAAAACGTTGCTTGTTCAAAGGCTCATTCATCTATAAATGATTTCACCCTAACTCCACCTCTTTGCTGCGCACATCTGAAGTGAGAGAGAAGCACCACCGCTGCCGAACCACTATTCATCACTCTTATCATTTAAAAACCAAATAACCCGGTGATCTCGGCCATGCCCTCTCAGTCATTTCTGTTGCTTATGAGAGACTTAAACATGACCAAGGAAATCCGTTTTTAACATGCTTGGGGAAGCCCAAAGGGAAGGCTTCAGCGATGCTCAAATCAGATAACAGAGCAACTCTCCGACGGCTCCTCTCAACACAAACAAAGGCAGCGGCTCTCCTTCCAGGTCCCCCTTCGATTT